AGGCATTTTTTGACAGACAGAGCAGCACATGCATTTTGTAATCCTTGCTGGAGAATGTGTCCTCTGGATCAAATTGTCCTTTAGGAGTAAATTCTGAAGTAGACAGCTGTATCAAAAATGAGAACAAATCATGAACGTTTGGCAGAACTTTAAACCAGTATTTATTTCTGATAATGGGCCTAACCTGAAATTACCTCTGTTTGCATCTCTGTTGATATATTATTAGTATAACAGCCCTAACGAAGTTAAGATTAGGACCTGCTTCTGTTCCTAAAAGGGGTTTGAATGCTGTGTTAGAGCACGTGGTCTCAAATCTGAAATTATTTACACTGAAAAGCCCAAGTTCCTTTTTTAGCATATGAATGATAGTGATAGTATGCTATTTAAAACAGGGGAAGCTGACATACTGTAGATATGGCTGTTTACACTTTTATTGTATGCCTGAGGCTCACAAAGAGGATGAACCTACCCAAGGATGCTTCTGCAATGAGTTGGTTTTGTGGAAGAAAAACTTGAAGAATAAAATTATTATTCTTTGTATTGATAGCTATAACTGTGTTTTAATGCCCTAACTCATTAATTGTGATGTTCTTAGCTGCTCCTGCAGTGACACTGTGTACAGTACAGCCTTCAGTGGCAGCACATGTCCATTTTGTGTAGTATTTTTTTCTTACACTTTCTAATTCTAAAATGGAAGGTTTTGCAATATATTAATTGTGAATTGAGAAGACTTCTCTGCCTAAACAGTCTGTATCCAGATATAAGACTTATCAAAGAGGTAACATTAGTTTAATCTGTTTTAAGATATTTTATTTTTAAACTAAATTTGGATGATTCTCAGTTTTGAGATCTACGAAAAATCTGAAATGAAATCGGGTTGACATGACATTTTGCAATTTTCCTGTGGAGACAAGACCTAAGGCTAAGGAACAGGTTTTTGTTGTTGAATGTTTGTTTGTTTGGTTGTTTAATTGCTGTATTTGTATGTTTTATATGATAAACATTGCAATAAATACAAAAGCATTACAATCTGAAGTTAAATAACAAAGAGCTCCTGATGGCATCTGGTGTGGTCTAGGTTTGTGTAAAATACGGCTTTAAAGGCACTTTTTAAAAGCTATGGTGTGAGGCATTTTTTCTTTAAGTACATGTGACCTTCCAAAGAAGTGGTGAATGCTCCATCCCTGGCAGTGTTCAAGGCTGGGTTGGACAGAGCTTTGGGCAACATGGTCTAGTGTGAGGTGTCCCTGCCCATGGCCAGGGGTTGGAACTGGATGATCTTAAGGTCCTTTCCAACCCTAACTATTCTGTGATTCTTTGAATATGATTCTATGATTTAACGTCTGTTGTCTTCCATAAGTTTTCTTAACTAGCAGTTTAGTGTCTATCGCCAGGAAGGTGCTGAGCATCTGGTTGCTGAAAATCTCTCTTTGAAAAAGCAAAATAACTGGCTCCAGTCTGAGAAAAAGAATTCTGCTGTTTGTAATGCTTTGAAGCCAGAAGTAGTTTCTTTATTTTCACCAGGCTTGAGCAAAGAGCTGTGTTGCAACCTGCAGTTATGTTGTTAGGTAAGGCAGGGAGGGGCGCAGCAGGTGCTTATTAATACCTCTAGGCTACAGGTAAAGGTGACTGTATTCTCTTGAGCGTTCACAGCCCTAAACAGGTGGATATTGTTTTAGTAACTCGATTGAGAGTGGACACTCTTTATCCTCTGGTTCTAATGGCAAACTTTTCATAGAGATGTGTGAAAGAAGTGGTAATTTTTAAAGTAACAGTTCAGATCCTCTCCTTGTTGTATCTCCCATCCTCCTACTTCTCAATAAAAAGCATGTGCATAAATTCAAAAAGAAATTAATCTCTGCCCTTCCAAACTAAAATAAGTGTATTCTGGAAGGTTCTTTTCTAAAGCTTTTAAAATATTTATTTATTTATATATTCTTTTTTAGAATTTGTGGTAAAATTTATTTTTATGATTTTAATTTTTTTGAATTTGTGGTAAAATTTATTTTTATTAATAAATTTATTTTAGGTATGAATTTGACTTGTTTTCAAATGTGAAAAATTAAAACTCAATGGAGAGCAGCACAGTACAACATTGTGCTCATACTGAATATCTGAGAGGTGATTATAATGAATTGAACTTGCATAACAGATAAAAAATGCAGAAGCTGACTAGAAAGCTTTGAACTTCGTTGCAGCTTTGTATATGAAACAGTATGACTATCATAGCATCACAGACTGGGTTTGGTTGGAAGAGACCTTAAAGCTCATCCAATTCCAACCCCTGCCACGGGCAGGGACACCTTCCACTAGAGCAGGTTGCTCCAAGCCCCTGTGTCCAACCTGGCCTTGAACACAGCCAGGGATGGGGCAGCCACAGCTTCTCTGGGCACCCTGTGCCAGCGCCTCAGCACCCTCACAGGAAAGAATTTTTTCCACAGTTTAAATCAGAGAAAAATGTTAAAATCTGACTTAGCATTTTGCACTGAAGACAAAGAGTGTACATGAGATAATGCGAACACAGAGGCAGCCAAACTGTGGATTGGGAAGGTCATTTCTAAGAGATTTCAATTACAGTGGACTAAGTCAACAGCTGGTTTTGCCTGTAGTGCTCCTTCATAGCTTCCTGCAGCCAGGTTCTCCTGACCCTGCAGGAAGCCATAGCAGAAGAAAACCTTCATTGCATTTGGGTGACTATCTAGAGTAAAGAAGGAAATGAAACCTGGAATTTTTGGTAATTTTTCTTTTGGGGTTTTATTACTCTTAAATACCAACAGGAAATGTAATGCTGGACTTAAGTTTTCAAACTCAGAAATACTTACTAGGAGCAATTTTATATAGTGTTTCCCATAGTCCACAGTTCACCAGGAAATAACCAGTAACAGCACAAAAACTTTAGCAGATGACCTCTAGATCAGCATTTTCCTTCTTGTTGTTATTGTTGTGTATGACCTTTACCGTGCATACTTCACTTTGTTTTCCCTGTTTCCCCCACCTTCTAAACCTCTGCTTTTGTATCCCTCCTTTCCATTATCCCCTCTAGCTCTCCAGACTGTGCAGTCATGTTGTTTCTCTTGCAGGACCAGTGCTTTGAGTCCCAGACACAGCAGCAGGACATCAGAGAGGTGTGAGGCCAAAGGCCTGCTGTGGGACAGTGGGGAAGGCTTGAGTTGTTTGGAATAGGAACGCTGCTGCTCCTGGCATTATCTTAGTGTCTGCAATTAGGGACCCTTGGCAGCATCATCTGCGTTTTAGACTGACCCTAAAAATCCAGGTGCCCTTTGGTATCATCCCTAGCATTTGGGAAATTAATGCCCTGAACTGAAAAATCATGTGTGTGTTTTCTTTCATACACATAGTACAAATGCAAGGAGTTGCTTGTGGATCCTTTTTCCCACTGGCCTTCAGTGCCCAGGGATGAGTGTGTTCACAGCTGGCTAAGGCAGCTGGAGTCCTCATCCTGTGCAGAAGGAAAGCAGCAGCTTTGCAAAATTGCCTTTGGCGTCTGTTGTAGTGTTCCTGTAGAACCAGCAAATTCCATTTTTTCTCAACAGTTGATGCAGCATTTCTCAAAACAGGCTAGTCAACATTTTAAAAGATTCTTATTGCAGTTTCTTTTAGAATAACCATCCATCCATCCTTGCTGTATCATTTCTCCTGGATGGGAATTGTCTTTTTTTCCCATGTAGTGCTTGTGCTCCTTAAAGTCGTATCTTATCTGTCCCAATAATTACTGCTTTATTTTCTTTAGTAGGTTAAAATGAATTTAAATGGCATTTTGACACTTCCCTTCTCCAGTTGTGGTGCATATCTCTTTGTTTAAAGCAGCAGGCATACAGTGATGAATTGTACATTGAAGTTTTAATTATTTTGTGATTATAGCCACTCAGGTATATCAGGTACAGTTTGCTAATGAAATACAGTTCAGTGATCCCATTTCTTGCTCAATGGGATCACCTTTTGACAAGTATTTTCTAAGGAAAAAAGATGCATTTGATGAATTTGATACAAGAAAGAAAATCAAGAAATAGTTTCTTTTTTCTAGAGGCTGTTGTTTCTACAGACATCATTCATTTATTAAAGACACCATCCAGAGAGATGTATTCAAATTATGTATCTGGATTTGCAGATACCAAAAGAAATCCCTCTGGGGAGCCTTGTAGACTTGCAGTATTTCTTAAACTGCAGCAGTATGTTACAAAAACTGTGTAAGAGAATTCTTTAAGTTTTTGGAAGCTCTTTCATCTGTAGAAAAACATTACTAGCTTTGGTAGTTTTGATGAGGATATAAGCATGAAAGTGAAAATCTTAATCTACTTGTTTTCCCAAGTTTATTCTTGTCACTTCCTTGTAGTAACAGTACTTGTGTTATAAGGCCTTTCTGATAAAATTGTGAGGTTTTAATTTGCCTTTACTTCTGTTTTACTACACTGCATTCTCTTTTTTCCCCACTTCAACAGTATCGTGTGGTTCCAGTGCTCAGCCTGGGCTTACACTCTGCAACTGCTTTTCCTCTGGAGCTCCCTCAGTTACCTGTGCACAGAGACATATGTTGTATTGAGGTCTCTGGCTTTTAGGCCTTTATTGGCTAAAGCATACTCTATTCAGAGTTGCTCAGGTTGTCCATTAAATGAGGAAACAGTGCTTGATATGTGCATTTCTAAGAGCTGCCTTTGGCAAGTCAGCTGTTGTATCAATATGATAATAAATGATATCAGTATTACTTCTTAGGTAACTCACATGCTTTAATCCTTATTGAATTATATGTGAAGGAAATAAAAAAATAATCTGCCTCTGACAAAGAAATAAAATAGTGTATTAAAAACCAACTCTTCTTTCTAATCAGCTTCAAAATGAGCGTGTATTATGAGCCATGCTTGCTTTCCTGTCAGAACACACAACTCCACCCCGTCTCTTTTCTCTGAATGCTCTTTACCTCTTTTTTTGGTTCACTGTATGCTCCTAATTGTTACTTTTGTACATTTTCTTTAATTTAACAGTTGTTCCTGTCATTTTGAGAGCACTGACATATGATGAGAAGCGGGGGGCATGCAGCGTGGGCTCCAATGTGAGAGATGCTGCCTGCTATGTGTGCTGGGCCTTTGCTCGTGCTTATGATCCTGCAGAACTCATACCATTTATTAATCAGATTTCAAGGTAAGTTGTGGCAAGAGGAAACTGATTTAATGTTTAAAATCTGTTCAAAATTAGGAAGGAACTAGACATGAATAGTCTCATTCTGTAGCTTCTAGAAGTTAATAATCTAGGAGTTTAATGCTCTGTCTTTGACATTTAAAATTAGTGATACAACAGTGAAACATTTACTGAGGAGAAATACCTTCATTCTTAAAAACTAGGTTGTCTATCCCATATAATGTGAATGAAATTCACAACCCACTATAAAACTGGGAAGTTGCTTTATGGAGTCATAAAGTGCTGGAAATATTAAAAGAAGAGAAAACTTATAGAAGAAGTTACTTCTTACCTTTTCAGGTGAATATTTGTTCCAGGAGTTTTGGGGCTTTGTCAAATGGTTACTGTGCAAAGAATATAATATATATTTACTAACCACCTTACAACTTGCAAGTTGAACCAGTTAGGTCTAAAATAATAAGCTACATTTCAGCTCTTCTCTGAATAGCCATTTTGGAGCCTCCTGGTTGTAGAATTTATAATTTTCGTTTTGAAGTGTTCCAATTCAAAGATTATTTTGAGTAAAGAATAAAATCACTTCCAGTTTCTGAAACTGGTAAGAACTTGAGCTCTTCACAGTGATTCTAAATTGTTAGTAACCTATCACTTTTGAATAATAGAGGTTTTATTATCACTCGTAAGACATTTTAGTTCAAAAATACACGGGTTTTTTTTCCTCTTTTGGTACCCTCTGATGACCAGTGTACTAAACTCCACTTACAGTTGAATAGAAACACATGCATGTACTTCTCTTTCAGTCTGTGGTTTCTGTTTCAAAAGACTTAAAAAAGTAAGATTTTCAAAAGATTTCCAAATCGGGATCTATGATACTAGAACTTGGTGCGGCTTTTTGCTTAATGTGAGATGACATTTTTGCAGATACAAATGGTGTTTACCTTTTTTTCTTTCATCTTGTGCTTTTCTTCCTATTTCTTGTGAGATCCCCTCTTTAGCATTGTCTTTTGGTTGGCAGCACACTGGCTGACATTTCATGGTGTCTTTAATGGGTCAATTGCACTGCAAACACAAAGAAGTAGCTTCTAACAGTTTCTTGGCAGTCTTTTAGTACACCCATTGATAGCAGCAACTCAGGATTCTTTGTCTTCATTGGAGGGGTTTCATCAGTAGTCATTTAGTATTATCTTTAAAGAAAAAAAACCCCTAAAACGAAAACTTGGACTGCACAGTGATTTGTGGTCCTGGATATCTGATGTCTGATTCAATTTCTAGAGGCTGCCCTGCTTCCAGACTGCTGACAAAACTATTTCAATCTCAACCAAAAAGCCTTGTTTGGAAGCCTTGTTTGGATTATTTACTTAGCAAGTTCCCAAAGAATATGTGCCTTTTTCTTCTTTAAAACTTATTTTAAATGTTTTTGGGGACAGACTTTACATATCCATTTTTATTCCTTGATTCGGGTGCACTGTGCCCTTGCTGGTCTCTGCTGCTCTTCATCCTTGTATCTTCACTTTCTGGTGCTGGTCCTTTAATGCAGGGTCACACAACAATGTCTCTTATCTGTGTGGTGCTTGCTCCTGGGGGTTTTTGAGACCTTGATAAAATCTTTCTGTCTAAAAACCTGCTGTCAAATTTCTTAAGGCCAAATGCTGTTTTTCTTCTTTTTTTTTAAGGTGTCATGTCTTTTCTCCAAAGGGAGCAGAGAAAAAAATTCTAAGACATCTTGCCCTTGTGTCTCTGATAAAGCAGTTTCATGTTGTTTTAATGATGTTTCATCTACAGTAGCATAAATACTAAAGGAGAGGAGTAGTGTAACAGGAGGCTATGCTAGAATGTGGTGCCATCCACTGTTGCTGGATGACTTTCAGAAAGAGAATACAGTGCTGCAGAATAGACCTGCTTCGGTTAAGCACGCTAGAAATGGTGATATTTGCCATAGTAATTAATTAAATATTTTATTTTAAAGGGTCACATATAATTCCCTTCTAGCTGAGTTCATGGTAAATTATATATTGTAAGAAATTCTTAAGCTTGTTCCTTATGAAACTTTAAAAAGCCTAAGTACAAGTGTGTCAGCCTTCTAGTTATTGGAATCCTGATCTGTTTATTAGGATTTTTCTTCTGCTTATGATGCTTTGAGCAATATATTTCTCCTTTCACCCTACCATCATGCAGAACAATGTTGTTGTCCATGTGTTATGTGCAATCTGACTAGTGTGATTTTTCAGAGTTCGTGGTATTTTGTTTTACTGTCACAAAGAGAGTGGGAACTCATGGACAGGTATGAAGGAGGTTCTTATTTCTGAAGAAGCTCCTGACTTTTAGTTTTCAGACCAGCACAAGGTGGACAGCAAGGGGGAAGCTGAAAATTACATATGAGCAATTGTAAGGTGTCGTGGTTTGTATATGCTTAGTTTTCTAACAAAGCTGCACAGTATTTTAACAAGTATTAATGCAATACTAAGGCTTTACTTAAAAATCTTTGTAGTTATGTTGGCCATAGCTTTTCTATATATAATCAACTCTTGAAGGCAGAATTGCCACTCCAAAGAGAAACGGTGGAAAAGAAATATTCAAATAAAGGATGACACACAGTTTCACCTATTGTGTCAGCAAGCCGATAATTACATACAGCTTTTTTTTAAATCTAGCCTTAGGTGTGTCACTGTTTTACTTACAGAAGAGTCATACTTCTAGCCACAAGTGAATTGTTGCTACCCTGGAAAAATGCAGAACTCAGCATCTTGAAACAAAGTACATAATATCCATTGTGAGCTGAATTACACAGCAAAATCATCTGCCTATATAAGAATACTAACTATCAGATTCTTAGAGGAAAACAAGAAATTGTTTTACTGAAAGGAAGATACCACCTCCTTAAGAAAACATAACGAGTGACTGTGATCCCGAACTGTTTGCCTTGTCTTGGTGCTAGAAATTGCAAAGGGTTTACCCTTCAGTTACAGTCTTTAATGCTGCTGTTTGGCTGGCTGAAGGAGCACAGGTCGTGCGGAACTTGGAGCATACAGAGATGGTTGCTACACTCAGACTTGAAAGGCAAGCAGTAATTGTGGTAGAGAGAGCATGCTGGTGGTGACTGGAAGTTGTTGAGTTAGATAGTGAGCTGCTTCATGGCTTCCTGCTTCACGTCATGGCCTTTGGCACATGTTACTGTGTCTTGGCGAGAAGCTCACTTGAGTATCAAAACCCAAGTAGTATGTTACTTAAACTGGGTCCTGCCCCACAACGTGTTCAGGCTGTGGTACAGCAGTGACAAAGCAAAGTTGTGTCATCATATAATGGAAAGACATTGTTTTCTGTGGTTTTGGTATTCAAGGGACATGTACATTTCACTTTTGACTAGTGAAAAATCACCTTGAACTGCATGAAGTAATATTTTTTACTAAAATTTATGATAGTGTTTTGAAAGAAATATCTGTCTCTGTATTCAGTGATAGCTGTTTCTTCTCCACTTTCCTGTGAATATTCTGTTGCTAGGTGATGAAATTATCAGAATATTGAAGTTACAAATGTAGATTGCTGTAAATCAGCAGCAGCCCTTTCCTTTTCTGACCTTACTGCTCTTCTTTTGAGGGGAAAAATTAAAAAGAGAACACTTACTAGAAATAATCACCTGAGAGTATTTCTAACAGTACTTGCTTGTATTTTGTATGTCAGTATATTTTCCCTACCCATATTTCAGCAAGATACACTTACTCACATTTGCTTATTTATTTTTTAGAGTCTAGTTGAACTGGTTTCTAAACCCTTACCTGATCTATTCAAGCTGCAGGACCACAAAAAATTCTTGGCAAAGCAGATGAAGCTTCACTTTCATTGTAGGATGACCTTAGTACGTTTTGACGTGCATGTACTGAAGTTTCTCTTCAAGCATATCTTTATAAAAACACTACTTGACCAAGATTTTTTTTCCTCTCCTAGCCTCTACATGCACGCTCTCTTTTTAAACTCACCTATGAGGAAAGTTAAACATAATTTAATAGCTTGGAAATAGGGGTAATTTGATTCCTGCCCCCTTGGGTGTGGAAGTTTCTGTCTGTAAAGTGGCAGGTGCACACTAAGAAGCTGAGCTGTTTTGTTTAAAACCTAAACAAAAAAATAAAAAGGAAAACATACTTCTACTCTGTTATACAATTACAGTGATTAAATTGTTGCTGGCTATCTTAATTATTTGGAATTGTTGCATAGTCAGAGGGTAGTGTCATTTATCTGTCATTCGATGGTGTAGGTAATCAATAAATGAATCGTTATTTAGAAAGATCTAATTGCTATCTCCTGGTCCACAGAGCACTACTCTAAGTACAGTGTGTACAGTGTAGGAGTGCAGGCAGCTTTGTCTTCCCTGCGGTGGTGCGTTGCTTCTGACTGGGGGGGGGGAAGGAAGGTGTGGCTATGGATGAATGATGTAGCTTGCTCCAGGGCAAGATTGTCCTGCAGAATTGGGGAAATCTGAAGCATTGCTTTGAGCTACGTGTTGTACCATGATGAAATATTGAGAGGAGCTTTCTTCTTTTATGCATTTGAGCGTTGCCTTCAGAAGACAGTTGCGTGCCTTGTGTCACTTGCATTTGGGTGAAGTTATTTCCTGAAGGGGCATCATATGCTTTTTGGTTTTTCTTTTTTTTTTTTTCCCCAATATCAGCATTTGTAACTCCTGTTCTAAGCATTTTTTATTACTCTTTTCTATATTATGATTATTATTTATTATACTTCCATCATTGTGCCCCAAACATTTGCAATAGAAATAACACATTGAGCAGCATAGGATGTTGGCTGGCTAGCAGAAAGTGGAAGAGCTGGGTTAGAGGGCCTGTCAATGTATACAGTGTACAAGTGGGCATGGTCACTCCGTTTCTCCTTTTCTTCAGACTTTCTCCTTGCTTAGACAACCAGGAGGAATTAAATCTGAGCCTGTCGCCTGGAGGACTTTGTCCCCTAGCAGTGCTGGCTGAAGAAGTTCTTTTGCCTGCTCCTTCACCTACCTTGCCCTGCAGTTGAGCATAGCACAGCCCAGTGTGATGAATGAATGGAGGAGCTTCTCTGGGTTTTCAGAAAAAGCTAGCAAAAGTAAAACTAATTGAGCCTAGATCTGTTCTTGTTATGCAGCTCACTGTGTAGCCATTCCAGCTGAGGTACTGGCATGAGTGAAGAGGTGCAAGAAGGGCTGTCTGCAGCAGCAGCTAACGCAGGCTCAGGACTGACTCTGTTCTCGCCTCTTTTTTTAACTTGCTTGGATTGTTCATTGCTCATGATGCTTATTATGCCTTCCCTTCCTGACTGCATAGCAGGGAGGAGAGTTTTCTGTCTTCTTACATTTTCGACTTTTCCCATTTTTAGGCTCAGGAAGGAAATTTTGGTTTTGTGCCAAATTGGCAGAGGTTTGAGAGTTTATGTTTTTTCCTTCCTGCAGCTTCAGGGTGGTGTGCTTGAATTAGTAGCAGCAGATTCTCAGGGGTTAGCAATAGGATAAGATTCTTGCTGCTTGTGACTAGTATAGACTAGAAGTGCCTGCTGCGGGTGATAAAGGAAATTCAGCTTTATTGTCTGGTACATCTGGCACTCATAGGGAGAGGGTAACCTGATATTCCTGTGTTCTGATGTCTATCACCTGGCTGGCCTCTGCTCCCTTCTTTCTGCCTAGTTGGGGAAGGTAATGAAATAGGTGTTGGGTGAGGATGTGAGCCGCTAGCGTGCTTTTAACTTTCCCTGAAGCCAGTTAAGTGAGGACTTGAGGGAGAGGGGAAGGGATAGGGGAGAAAGGGAGAATTATTAGTTGACTGATAGAATGGCAACTTGCTTTTTAAACTCTATTTATGTTTATTGTACACTTAGCTGCTTGTCATGCATACAGGCTAAATATACCTCAAGGAACTACAAAAGGTGTTTCATAGAGACTGCAAGATGCAAAGCCACTCTTTGCTCTACCTGTTAGCAGTCAGGTGTGGTACGTTTCAGGCAAGTCAAGACATGATCCTTTAACTAGCTTAAAAAAATATCCCACTTTGTTTGACATAAACAGTTTCTTTATGTTAGGAAATCATGGTGGAGTATCACATAAACTCCCACGACAAAGGAGATAGGTGAAGACACCTTAGACATGTTTCGTCTTAGGCACGTTGCTTTCCTTGCTAATCCCTGTGTTACTGCAGACTGTGCCTGCATTTTCAAATAGGAGTGAACTTGAAAAAAGTATTTGTGTAGTTCGATAAGTTTAAAATACTTATATTAAAAGGCTTTAACATCAAACAGTAATTACAATATGATTTATGAATCTAAGTGGGCTACGGGGGCAATTACAAAATTCTTGGGTTTTTCTGTTTTGTTTTTCTTAAAGTATTGAGTTGCAGCACTGAGTAACTCCGGTGGCATCACATGGACAGTATGTTGTTGTGCTGGTTTATTATACAGGTTTGTCTTATGGTGACAGAAGAATAAGGAAAAATGGAAAAGCTGAACTCCTGTTGTGTATAATAACCTAAAACTGTTTTCCATTCTATTTAATGAACCACATTTGAAGTTTACATATGAAATTCAAAGAGCAGTGTTTATCTCTGGTGACGTTCTTGTAACATTTCCAGTTTGAAAAGACTGCAGGATCTTTCACATCAGTATGTTAATATTTAATGTGTATGTTCTTACACTTATCCCGGAGTGTCTCTTTTGGGCCACTAGACAATGACTTGGAAGGATTTTGGTCTGTGCCAGCACAGCTCTTCTGAAATACTCTGAAAGCATTTAACTTGAAGGTACCTTTGACACAGTAAGGGCAAAGCTCTGGGTTGTGAGCTTCCTGGTTTGTTTTACTGTAATTTTGCATAACTGACACAATAGTGTTTTATCATATAGTCCGTAAAATTGGATATGTAAGGCAGAAATACACTTCTTTTTGTTTTCCAGGGTGATTTTCATCTGATTTCATAGTTTTGAATATTCTCTCCTATTATTAAGAAGACTTAGGGGAGCTGTATCATTCATATCATTAACTATAGAATTCTAAAATGTCCTTCCTAATAGAATGCTTCCTTAACATTCCCTCTCCCAATCACTGTCGTTAGGATGACCTTCTGTCTTGTAGTGACCTAATGTCTTTGTGGCAGAGTGGAATTGCTCATGCAGGTAGCAATAAGAAAGCATTAACCGTCTTTAGAACAATTTATTGAGGTTTATTTTCCTTTCATTCTTGCTTTCAGTCTCTTGTTTTCCTTAATGGAGATGAACTGAAATTACAGAGGCAACACTGATTGTGCAATTCAGCGAATTTTAACAACACAGTAGTATTCACTGTAGGAAACTGATAGCCACTACCCGGGGAAGTTTGATATTATCAGTGTAATTAATATCTTTATGCTAAAGCAAAGCTGTCTTGGATTTACTTTTCAGCCAGTATTTATTTCCTGTTTTGCCTGGAGTCAATAAATACCATAATGAAGAGTTTCAGAGTTTGAAAGGAATAATTTTCTGCTTAAATGATTCTCCTGAAGTGATGTTTATTTGTCACTGAAGTTAATTGAATGCTGGAGGTGGATTTAGAAGCTTCAGACTTTGTGTCCTGTTGTGGTGACCAGTGATGAGTGGTGTTCCTCAGGGCTTGGTACTGGGACTAGTACTGTTCAGCATCTTTGTTGGTGACAAGGACAGTATGATTGATGCATCCTCATCACATTTGCCAACAATACCAAGCTGTGTGGTGTGGTCGACACACCGGAGGGGAAGGGATGCCCTGCAGAGGGACCTGGACAGGCCTGAGAGGTGGCCTTGTGCAAACCTCATGAAGTTCAACAAGGTCAAGTGCAAGCTTCTGAACCTGGGTGAGGACATTCCCAAGCAGAAATACAGGCTGGGTGGAGTCTGGATTGAGAGCAGCCTTGAGGAGAAGGACTTGGGGGTGTTGGTCGAAAAGCTCAACATGTGCTGGCAATGTGTGCTTACAGCCCAGAAACCACCCATGTCCTGGCCTGCACCAAAAGGATCATGACCTCGAGGGTGGTGATTCTCCCTCTCTGCTCTCATGAGACCCCACCTGGAGTATGAGCTCCATGAAGGTGCTCCACGGGCTGAAGCACCTCTTCTATGGAGACAGGCTTAGAGAGTTGTAGTTGTTCAGCCTGGAGAAAAGAAGGCTCTGGGGAGAACTTAGAGCAGTTTCCAGCGCCTAAACGGGCTGACAAGAAATCTGGATAGGGATTTTTTGCAAGTGCATGTAATGATAGGACAAGAGGGAATGGCTTTAAGCTGAAAGAGGGTAGACTTAGATGAGCTCTTAGGCAGAAGTTCTTCCCTGTGAGGGTGCTGAGGCGCTGGCACAGGGTGCCCAGAGAAGCTGTGGCTGCCCCATCCCTGGCAGTGTTCAAGGCCAGGTTGGACACAGGGGCTTGGAGCAACCTGCTCTAGTGGAAGGGGTCCCTGCCTGTGGCAGGGGTTGGAACTGGATGAGCTTTAAGGTCCCTTCTAACCCAAACCAGTCTGGGCTTCTATGATATATTCTGTGTCTTCTGTTGTGTAGCACATTTCTTAAAGTAATTCTTTTGAGGTACAAGAATTAAACTGTGCAGGGTTACCAGACTTTATGCAAATACAAAGAAATAGTTTCATGTAATCATGCCTCTGTAGCTATAGGTCACTTTAAGGAAAAATTGCTTTGCATTTTATCTCTCAGGTCACTTTCAAGCCGGATTTGCATATTGTTTTCTGATTTTTATTACTTTACAGGATGCAGTTGTGCTTTTGAGATAGCTGCAGGACTCCATTGCTTAAGCCTTACATAAGACTTGCTGTGCATTTGGCTATTGAGAAACTGTAATTTCAAGTTTTAATTTAAAATTTCACCCTGTGTGTTTCACATGAAAGATGATATATGTCCAAGTTTTAAACTCCTGCTTTATTTAAAGCAGAAAACCTTTCTATGCAGTTAAACATATTTGCATATTCCTGAAACTGCTTTGATACAGTAGGATGGCAGTTGTCTGTTTATGTTATGGGAAGTCCACAGCAAACTGAAAAATGAGGAAGTACAGAGTTATTTCAACTGAAATTTTAGTTTAGACTCGTATTTATAAATAGTAACTCCTTAGAGGAAACGCTGCATGTTCTACCTGGAAGTCTAAATGTTGAAATGATGGCATTACCCATTTCTTCTCATATTTTTGGTACTAATACGCAGTATTTTTGTTTCCTCAGTGCACTGATTATTGCTGCAGTATTTGATCGTGATGTTAACTGCAGAAGAGCTGCTTCTGTAAGTTACCACATTCTAGCTTACATGTTTCTGTTACTTTTTGGTTTCATTTAATAATTTGTAGACTTAGCTATTTAGAATTACAGTATATACGTGATTTATTATGTTGTGAGCAAAAAAGTGCTCTTTTACATCCTTAGAAGCATGCTGTGAATTTAGATTTGAAATTATATAATCCCCAGATCCATATCCTCATTTATGGCCACAGTTCACAATTAGCTGTTTTGTGGTCATAATGGTTAAGATAGAAGTATCTGAGAAGGAGCTATTCAGCATTTGCTTGGCACAGTATCAAAGGGTTATACATAATATTTAGACGCTGGAGCTTTTTCATGTCGCTAAGCTGGTTGTGAAGTTACCCTTTTCTAATTGTTCCTCAACTGTAACTCTGTGTAAGTTGAAAACTTCTAGAATAATCTCTCCCTCAAAAATATTTCCATTTATTGTCTAAAACTGTTTCTGTAGGACTGGGAATTTTTAGAAGGAAGTGATAAATCCATTAGGAGATACTGTTATGTAGTTAATTGGGCTGACAGCAAAGTATATTCTGTGGAACCTTTCTGTAGACAATACTTATGCTGTTGAGAATTGAAAAGAATGTGTTACTGTTCTTGAGAGAAGCAAGTTTATGGAGGAGAGAGTACAGAAGTTAAGAAGAAAGAATGGACATCTCTTTGAGAATGTAAGTCAGGGTGTTGTGCATATATTGGACTTGCTTTGGTTAAAAAAAAAGGACTAGTTGTCTTTTTCAACAGATAAAACAAATTCTCTCATGCAAATGTAAAAAACCCATTGTTCTAACTGTGTAAGCACAGGACCAGACAAAGTCTGTCAAAGAACCAGGCGTCTCCATTCCTAAGTACAAACTTCACTGTGAATGCATTAAAAAAATATTTAGGGGAAAAAAGAGTGTCTTTGCAGCATGCAAATTGAGTAACAAGTCTGTCTTATTTTTTGACTGAAATTTTGAAAGCTAATGCATTTATAACATCATACGGATTTCTCAGGGATACCTGGATAGCATCCTTAGTTTTTCCTAGCCACACCTCTGCTTGAGAGTTTAAGCTGTTGAATGAAGCTGCACCATTAATTGCTGAGGAAGTGAGTCAGTAGCTTGTGTAATCATATCACAAATCACTTTGTCTAAATAAGTTAAAGCCAAAGCATGGAAGCTAAGATGCTGTAGATCACTGAGTACTGATATAACATATTCTTCACATACTGTACCACTAATGAATATGAGCAATGCTACTTTCCCCCAAACTTCAAATTTTAGAAACTGTAGCATTTGCTATTCTTGGCTAATTTAAGTCACTTCAAATAAAATTCTAAGAGGAAAACAAAGACATTTTTTTCTGAGTACTATACAAAACGTTAAGGACTATAGACGTTGAAAAGTTAGTAATTTATTTGCTCTCTAGGTATTGTCCTAGGAATTAGTTGGTAATGTATATAAAGAAGAGAATTCGTTTTGACATGATTGCCACTACCAGTGTTTTGCTTGCCTTTAGTGGCTTGATGTAATTGTCCTATGTAATCTTCATTATATTTCTATGCTTAAACATAAACTGATAGATTGACTGTGAAATATGGTGCTAAATCAGACACATTTACTAATGCTCTAAGCTTAGTGCAGATTGTGCTTCCGTATTTCAGATGAGCACAAAATAAATTTTCTTTTCACTATCCTCTTCTACTTTAAACTAAGCTATTGAGCATTTTGCAGTTCAATTACCTCCAATGAAATTAATCTTTTCACTAGTACATTGTAATATAGAGCTGGTCAAAGTTCAGAATTGTTGTTTTGATGGATAGATATGAAAGTACTGAACCTTTTTCCTTACTTTAGAAAGGCAGGCAAAGAAATATTTTGTACTTACCAGGTATTCCTACAATTTTGAAGAAAAATACCTGGGAGTCCTAATTATTTCCAATGATTACTACAGTTAAACACATATTTAAACAACATGTTTTACTAGATTTTCCATCTAATACAATATGCAATATATTATAATGCAGAGCACCAATAAAGCAAAATAACATACAGAGATATTTTGATCCCTGAGGTTAAAGAGAATAAAACAGGGCTGTTCTTTTGAAGCTCCAAAAGCATTCTGAGCTGACTTTTGCAACTCTTTCATGAATAATCATTATAAGGAATAATCACATGAATAAGTGTTCTTGGCTTGGGCTCCATTCAGCTTCTGATGTCTTAAAGGGAGTATTTTTTCCTCTTGGTTGATAGTTTTTTAAATCATGACTTAGAAAATGTTTGAGTGGGTTTTTTTTTCACTTTTTGTGGTCATTTTGGTTCTGATAGTGTGGAATCTTTAAATTAAGATCTTTGTATCCAATTTTTCTATCTCCAGAAGGGGATCGTATGAAAAATGAAAACTTATTATTACAAAACGACTGGAATATTTGACCTCTTTTTGGAATTTGCAGTTGTTTGAAAGAATGGTTGAAATAGTGACTTTTTCAGTTACTGAAAACTAAGAAAAATCTTCTGTGAAACAATAAAGAAGTGTTTTAGAGGAACAAGAAGGGAATTCTGTGAGCATTAAATGAGCTCTAGAAAATTGCCAGTTCACTTGGATGAACAATATGTTTCATTATTGTCATATTTCTAATTTATTGTCATGAAGTTTTAACAGAATAATATTGGGGGGATGGTTTTCCCTGTAACTTTTTCCATTGAAGATATTCCTTCAGACTCCGGAAAAATAACGTGCAGTATCACATTTTTGTTGCTAAAATTGGGATTAGATGCTGTTCTCCTGCAGCAGTAATGTGCTTAAATTACCACAGATGGAACGTGCATTTTCTACAAAGCCTTCTTAAATCAGTGGTGAGATTTTCCAACTAGAACTCTAAACACTCTCAGCTTTCTGGGTTTACACTCCTTTGAGGATTTTTTTATGGTTTTGTTTGAAAATCTTGGTTTTCATTGTAAATTTCCCCATAATTGGCTGAAAACTTACTTGCAGAAGCAGCACGTTTTAGCTGGAGCTGAGAGAGGTTCATGGTGGTGCATAGGAACCTCCTTCAACTTAAATGACCAGCTGGGAAACAAGTTACTACACAGTTTTAGACTGCAACTGGAAAATTTGCTGCTAAGCTACAGAGATAGGAATTTGCTAGTTACCATATCTCTCTTCATATTTGTATGAATGGTAAATTCATATCAGAAGTGTGAGAATCTATAACAAAATGATTATTTTTCTCCAAGGCTGTTTAGTTGGAATCATTAACAGATATATTTGTAGCAAGGCAATACTTAAGATCTATCTTTATAAGCAGTAGTTAAAGTTGTATTATTTTTGTAGAGAAACTAATCAATTAGGTGTAAATTAACGTACGTTAGATGTTTAGAATACATCAGGTGAATGCTGAGTGGTTTTGCCATGCTGCTGGACTGTTTCTTAGATCTTCATGATTGTTTTTCTAAGTTAGTTAAAAACCAAAGTGGTGACATTATGCAAACAATTGGTGTGAAATCTTTATGTACAATCACTGTTTTGCTGCAACACTGTAGGCTCCTATACATCTTTTTTCAATGATTTTGCCATAATGTATTTCAGTTTTAGGCCTACGCATGTGTTGTAAGTAGAATAAAACTTTTGCTGGTTTGAGACCAGGTTTACGTTGTTTGGATATCAAAGTTTCTGATTGAAAAAGCAAAAAAAAAGCTTTACAGGTTTTGTATCATTAAAGTACTTGTCTGAGCGGTACAACTTTTAAAGAAGTTGTAATGAAGTGATTAAACTATTAAATCCCTTGGATATGATAGTCGAGAGCATCATCCTTGCTGAAACATCCCTATGCTGAGTAAAAATGGCATAAAAGGAGATCTAAAGCTGAAGTGTAAGTAAAAAGAAACAAATGATGCAGAGTGACATGAAACAAGGTTCTAGCGAATCCTGGGTGGGAGCAGACGTTGGTAGAGACATAAGGAGTGGAAAAACCCCGATGTGAGTAGCTGGGCTGAGGCATACAGTAAAGAACAAGCGCAGGGCATTGCCACAGCTCGTGTTCCCGTTCTGAAGGGCGCTTTACGCGTCGCCCAAGGGTGTATCTGTGCTGTGCCGGTGCGGAGCACAGCCCATGCAGTCCTACCCGAGGCAATCCCCAGCGGGTTAGCTCAGGGGTGCCGCTGGCAGCACGGCTGCCGCTGCTAGCGGGACAAGGTGGGCTCCAGACCTGCCAAGGTGGTGGGCGAGCGGTTTTGAGGCAGCTGGTGCTACGTGTCCTGCAGTGGATACACTGGGAGCAGGAGCTGAACTAGCCCGGGCAAGTCTACAGGAACTGCAGTCATTATCCTGAGCAGACATCACCTCAGAAATGCACCGTGAGGCTGGTTTCAGGAGGGCTTGCTTCACCTGTGCGCTGGGAGCGCCTGCTCCCTGCACAGAGTGATACCTTGGTGAGCTGACTGAACCTGTTGTTTGTGCAGGTGGATTACCACATGCCTATGTATTTATGTAGGAAATACACAAGCTCTGTCTGTCAAAGTTCTTGTGGCATTTTCAGTGAAGATTGGGACTGTACGTTGAACACCAGATCTTTTATTAGTACTTACGATTCTGTATCCCTTTAAGGAACAAAAAATACTTGGCTTTTTAGAGATAGGGGAGAAAACTGAAGTAGGGAGCTAAGTAGGTTTCGTTCTGTATACCATGCAAGTAGAGGGGTTACCTTTATGGTTGTATTCATTGCATTTTGCAAGATTTTGAGTTTATGTAATATGAAACAAAGAAGCAAACGTGGATTTTGTCTTCAGGTTTTATAATTTCAGTGTTTCAGCATGCTTTCAGGTGTGTATGTTTCAAATAAGTATTGCATTCTCAGTGTTTTTTGTCGGAAGTTTTCACTGACAAAGAATCCAGCTTTGCCTACTATTAGCAAATCGAAGCGCCCAGACTGAAGTGAGCTGTCTCCATTTCTGTTGTCTACGGGTATTGACTTTCAGTTCCAGTGCGAAGCCTTGTGTCACTCCTCAAAAGCACTCCTGTGGGTGTGACTGGTTTAATAAACTTGCATTCTTAAACTGCTGTCATGCAATATATAGCTTAAGAACGCTAGAACATAGAGACACAGAAACAAAAAAGCCCTGTGGGCTTGTTCTCCTGACAAAGCTTACTTTATTTAAAAAAGAAAAGCCATGGGTCATTTATATTGTTGTGTGTTTTGAATTCATCATCTGGTGTTTATCAAAAAGCAAACCTGACTCGTTTTGGTATGTTTGTTCTCTGTTCCTTAGGCTGCCTTCCAGGAGAATGTTGGGAGACAGGTATGGTGACTTTCCTGAATCTTCATTCAGTAGTGCCTCCGAGGTTACTGTAAACGTCTAGTACCCAAAATCAAAATTAGACACTGTGGCTTTGGAGAAATTGAGTAAAAGGATGTCACAAAGTAATTATTTTTATTATCAGCAAACAAGTTCTTGTGGAATATTTTTCTGAGGTGTGAGTTTTATTTTAGTACTCTAATTTTGGAAGAAAATGAGCTTTCTGGTAATTACCAGTCATTCTGAAAAGCAAAATCAGCATTATACACCTCAAAAACTGGGCTTAAGAGTACTTCAACTCAGTATTTGCTTTTGCCTGTTGTAACACAATCACAACCACCCAGATATTTTAAGAAATGTTACTTTTGGAGGTACCCAAGTGCTTTGAAAGTAAGTATTGTGGTAGGTTCCTATGTAACTTAGCAACATTCAAGTAGTTATAATGTTCAGATTTGCAGCCTTGGAGGAGAAGCACATAGAGTAAAGACTTGGATCTCAAAGCTGAATGTACAACTTTTAGAGGAAAAAGGGAGGCAATGGTTCAGTTAGTGAATTCTTGTGACCGAGTGGGGCATAAGCATGATTAAAGCAAATTTTGTTATCATTAAGCCATTCTTTAAGGGATATTATTAAAACACTGTGTAGCTTTCCCTGATATCATTCCTGAAGATCTCTGTTATGTGGTCGGATGCGATTCCTTTAGAACTCTGGGTGTTAAGTGATGTGTCCATAACTGGAGTGTGCGTTTCTAGATAGAATTAGGTTAATAGCAGAGAAAGGGTGCAAGAAGGCTAGGAGGAAGAGGGCAGGTTTTTTTGTGACCTGGCCTAACTAGGTCTGTGATAAGTAGAAGCCAGCGTGATTCTTTCTTGGTCTGTAGTTACTGCCCTGGAGAGCTTTAGTCATCACACAGCAACTCAGCGTGATTCCACTTTAGGTAAACACCTTCCTGTGCCTTCAGCTCCAGGTGAGATAGGGTTTCTGGGTCCAGCAGGTTTAAAAATGCTTCCATGTAGCCAAAATATTGTGAAGTTATTTTTCTTGAGCAGAGGAGTAGAGTCTATGTTAGTTTATACCCAGGAAGTTTTCTCGTTGACTCTGCTTTGACCCTCAATTCAAATTTGTCAGTGCTGGTAGAACCCACAACAGTTTTAGCTTATATGTCAACATGTGAAGGAGGAATTTGCAGGGAAATAATAAGCTTCCATGGCATGAAGAATGCTATTAGACTCCAGTTGGTTCCTGCAGAAATTCAGTTTTACATTGTAAACCATTCATTCCTTACTGCCTAGGAAAATGGTTACTTCATCAGTGGATACACCCTCTGTAGTTCTTTGCCTGGATGTCATGTGTTTAAAGAGGCACCCTTTCTCTGAACTGGAATGAGCTAAAACATACTCTTCATCTGAAGTAACAACACTGATACTAACTAGGTGGAGAAAAAGTTGACTTCACTTACTTCCTGGTTCCTACCTGCTCCACCTTTGCAGTTCAACCTCCCCTGAATCCTAGGGCTTGCTTTTATGGCCTCAGAAAAAGAAGCCGTTGGAATTTACACTTGGTATAAATGAAAACTTTGAAGACTTTTTTTTAAGCAGAAATCATGAGAAATGCACATGCTTCTAGTGAGACTAACTTACATTGGAGAAGTAAGATTCAGACAGAATGGAAACTGCTTTTCTCCTAATTCTGGCTCACCTGTTGACCATGACCTCTGTACTCATGAAGTTACTGTCAGGAATTCTGCTGTCTCACTGACGTACTCTGTGGCACCACGACCTTTAGCGAGATGGCATCAAATGGGCACACTTACAGCCAAGTAACAAATAGCAAGGTCCAGCTAGCAGCTAGAATTGGAAGTGTTTAGCTGTGATTTTCCTTATGTACACTATGCATGATTAGGTATTTCATAGTACTTCTTGTTGTTTGGCTATAGATCATACTGAGGTATTTCTCGTGTATATTTTTAACCTTAATCAGTGTTTCATTAGGCTTTTAGAGGGTACACTCATTTCACGTTTGGGTTATTAGGGTGTGCAAATAGTCTCTGGCTATTCTGTCTGTCCTTGGTTCAGTCAGATTCCAGGCCTTGGTTTTTTGGATTGTTTGCATTGTGCTTCCCAGAATAAGACCTCCGCAGTAGCTGACAGTTTCCCACTGCTTGCAGTATATACTTCTTTAATTATTCAGGCTTAGATCTAGAGATATTTTTCTACTATTTTTGCATGGCTGTATCCTAATGTGGAAGGGATGAGTGAGCTGTAAACAAACAAAACTGTATCGCATCCAGAACCTGTACTTCCACATAGCCTTATTGCTTAAATATCATATGATTGTCCCTTTTGTAAGCCAGTGTAGTGTCTTTCAGTTGGCAGTTTTCCATTTGCACTTAATTACGGTTTGTGGAGGGTATGCTGCCTCCTCCATTCCAAAACACAGCCTGCTGCGTAGGACTGTATTAAATCAGTCATAGCCAATCAAAGTTCTGAATATCTGAATTGTATTTCTTGTATAAAAAGGCAAATTTTTAGCTAGCAATTGCATATTAAGAAATTTATCTTCTAAAACCAATTTTTTTGAGCAGTGATGTCAGAAGTGTGATACTTCTGCAGGGTTCAATGTTTAAGGCTTTGCTGGGAACTAGTGTTCTTTTTCAAACCAAACTGTCTCAAACCCTAACCCCAAGTTAATAAATAAGTCATAAAGTATATGTGTAAGTAGAAACAAATAGACATACTTGAACTCCCATGTATCCCATGTGTGATGCATTTCTTGATGCCTAAATCTAATCTTATACTTCGTAAAAGTCGCAGCAGATACTTGTTCCCTCACATAAACTGAAAACATGTTTACATTGATCTGCACCTTACAGAGAAATCATTTTTTGTGTACATACATAGTCATGCCTTCACCAAATGTGTATTTGGATATGACTTGAAGGTGTTAAGATAGCTGCTGCATAGTTTATTATCTGCTGCTGTTTACTTGGACTGTTTATCATTGACTCATACATGAAGCCAGGTATTTTGCTCTTTATATACCCAATATCCTGTGTATCTTTATTACAAGTGATTTTACTATAAATTAGAAATTAAATTGTCTTTTTTTTTTAGTGCTTGGAGGGCAGTAGGAGACCTGTTTTCAGTAATGTTGCCTATTTGGAAAGTATTTTAAGTAACATTTTGTTGGTTTTCTCCCTTTTCCCTATGATGTTTCTAGGGTACTTTTCCACATGGCATAGACATTCTAACTGCAGCTGATTATTTTGCTGTTGGTAACAGAGTTAACTGTTACCTAACTATAAGGTAAGGTTCCAAGCATTAGTTTTCTTAAGCATGAGGGACCTCTTTTACATAATGAAATATTTGTCTGATTGTTCACCTTACTGAACATTGTTTATCACTGTTGTTTCTGAATAAATTAAGATTTGATTTTTCTTATTTGTGCATCAAACTGCTTATTAGGTGTAAGACAATGTGAAAATGTGACCATGATTTCCCTGTCTACGTGGAGGAAGCAGCCAGGAGGCAGTATTTGCAGGTGCCTCTTGGCTGTCTAAGCTGGCCAGAGTTAGAGAGGACTGGGGGAGTTCTGAAGTGTTGTAGTGAAGGGAGATGCTGTTATAATGGCACAGACTGATGTGAGTAGAAAAAAATAAACTAACAGCCATTTAAAAATATTCTTTGCACAAGTTATTGGATTTGTGGTCTGTGCACAGACCTTTAACTTGAGTGCTTGTATGTTACATAGATAGCTTAGTGAAAAATCTAACCGCAATATGCAGTAGTGTTCGAAAAAACAAACTGATCCCTGCAGTATGGAGTCTGCAAGGAATGTAATGGGAAATACTGGAACTGGTGTGATGCTGTTGTAAATCAGTGCCTTGTCTTAGAATACTGTGTTCTGCTCTGATCAGCTGTCTGAAGATAGAATAGTGCTGAAGTCAGGGGAATTCAGAGGCAAGCTGGGTGCACAAGATGACTGAAATGAACGTAAGATTGCACTTCCTCATGAGAAGATGAAAAGGGCTGAGGGCTGGGTTCTACCTGTAGTTGTCTAAGACAGACAGTCTAGCCTGGGTGTCTAGCCTCTCTCCATAGGCAATGCAAAGAGGCACCTATGAAGGTGATTCAGAGCATTATAAGATAGGTCAGATAAATTGCTCTATGGAGTTTCATGATGCTCAGAAGCCAGGAGGTTGAAAGGCTTGAAGAGATCATATTCTTGGGGAATATGAAATAGCAAACAAGTATATGATGGTTTATGCCCTGTTGCCAGCTTTGTGACTTCCAGTGAGGTGGTTTTTTTTGAAGATAATTTGCACTAGAACCCTCTATCTTCTCCTTGACTATTTTTTTAATTAATCTGTCCACCTCCATATTGTCCCTTTTGTGCGTTATCATTTTGGTCTGTATGTGCCTTCACCTTTCACCTACTGTCATTCTTTGTGGGGTGCACACCCTCCTCCTACACTCTGCCCCAGAGCTGCTGCCTCTGCCCCAAGATGGGGAAATGCAGTGACTCGGTCCATGCTGCTCTAGATCCATATAGTGTCAGTGGGACTTCTGAAAGTCTGGCTTTTTGTGCTAGTAGGAAATTGAAAATATTAAAAATTGGCAAAGCAGGGTTTGTTTTCTCTCTTATAATTTTGGCTTGGAGATAAGTCACAATCTCCTTACTTTTTGAGAGCTGAATTATTAATTTCTTTTTCCAAATGCTTATTTTTTTTACTCTTTTTCATTGCCATTTCCGTGGATGTCGTAGGAGTGTTACTTACCTAAGTGAAAATATTTTTACTCTTGATTTCTTTCTTCCACTCCTGGGCCTTACTTCAAATTGGGCAACAGAAAGACTAAATTTGTGAATTCTTTATAAATAATCTTAGGCATTTAGTACCATTAGTCCTTGAAATCATGTTCAGTGTTATTAATCAAACTCTTCTTTGTAAAGTATTTGACATCTCATTCGTTCTGTTACTTTTAAAAATCTTCACCACTTGCTCTTCAAGCAGGATGTCATTTTTGGGGTCAATTCTTAATTATTTCCTTATTTCTGTCTGAGTAACATGAAAGAAAAAGTACATAACCATATATTTGGCTGCACAGAAAACATGTATCATTATGATGTGGTAGGAAGAATGGACCTTTCTGATCAGTGTGCCTTAAGGTGCTGTAATTGTTTATGTAGCTGGAAAAAGCTGCTTGAGGTTCATATTCCAGATCTGGAATCTTCAGCTGTCCTTCCCCCACCCAGATAAAATGATCTTGGGACACTTTGTGTGCCAGCATAATGTGGCTGTGTGAAAGGAGGCTCTGCAGGTGTGAGGGTTGGTGCTGCTACATTCCTTTGAGCAATAAAAGCTCGAAAAGGATGTGCCAATTTCTACCCATGAATTTGGTTTTGGTTAATAAATGATGATACATTCTTGTAGGGAGGCAGTATCATATAAGTTCTTGTATTTATGTGTGTTTATAAATAGTTACTTATATCCTTTAAAATCTAAATGTTTTTATGCAAGTTTTTCACAGCTTGAATATCATAATTATTTCTGAGGATGGAAGGTAGACAGAAGCCATTTTGTATGAACTGGGACTAAAGAAATGATGCAATTCCAGGAGTTCTGTGCTTGGTAAAACCAGAGTTAAGGAAGAAGCTGCTTATAAGTAGAGTGTGATACAAAAATCGTACCAGAACATAATCAGGAAGGTTAGACTTGTATCCCAGGCTACTTGCATTAAATACTAGGGTACAAAAGATGAGGACTGTAGTTTGTTATAAATTAAAATAGAAAGTGGGATGGTGCTACAGACATGGCCCAAGAGATCGATGTTGATGAGCTGGACAAGGGAGCTCAGAATAAAATGGTTGGGAAGAGTGGCAATTGCTAAAACTAGGGCTCAAAAAGCAGTTAAGAAGAAGAGAGAAGAACTCAAATATGGCAGGGTAAATCTGTCATTTTATGTTCTTCCAGAACAGGGAAAGGAACCAAAGAGTAATACATTTTACTATTTCTCTTCTGGCATCAACAACCAGTTAAACCAACTGTCTAATCCCCCTCCAGGGCTCATAGCAGTAGTAGATATACTTCTATACCCTGTACTGGCTCAAATGACTGAGGTCTGTGCTGTGGATCTAAGGATTCCTACTCTTCTGATGAATTGCACAGATACCAGTATGGTAACATGCAACACTGTTTGGTTTTTGTCTTTGTTTTGCTTCTAATCACACACACATATATTAATGGAACACTATTATGGTTGCAAAGTTAGTCACTCAAAAGATAAAGATGGGTGACATTGAGGTAATCCATGTCTCCTTAATGTTGTCCCTTTGTGCAAACCATTTTGACACAAACACATTCTACTGATTGTTTAGCTTTCCAAGATTATTGAATATACATCAGATGTAGTGAAAAAAACATTTCACTTATTGACCCTAGCTTTCAATAGCTGATGTTTCTGAAGATTGGAAAGCAAGTGTGGCTCTCAGGTTAGGTAATGACGCAGGCTCCCTACCTAGTGAATTCTGGTGTTCCCTTAGGTCTTGACTCTGCAGCTTCAATATTTTTTTGTCAGAATTGACTTTCGCTGTACACTTGGCTTTTAAAAAGGACTAATTGAAAAACCCATATTCATTTTGGACCATTGTATTTATGAACATGTAGCACATTTCTGTGTCTTAATTTTGCTGTGCTGTGGATTACATCATTAATATTCCTCAATCTGAAATAATTGTATAACTTAATATATACATCTAGATTTTCTAGAATGTAACAATGGGAATTGAATATTTCTTTCTGCTGTTCATCACTATCAACCTTTTTTACATGTATAGGAGTTTTTATAAGGAATCTGGAAGTTTTAGAGAAGTGATTTATATGTTTTTCAACAACTGTAAACTATTTCCTATGGTAAATTCAGCTGCATCTCATAGTTAAATGATTTTTTTTTGGTTGCTTTAAAACTAGAAGATTTAAATCTTAGGAGCAGTTTGTGTTAAAATGCACACAGATGCTGATTCTGTACTCTCTATGGACATTTCTTTCTCAGTGTGTATATTGCTGGCTTTCCTCAGTACACACAGCCTATGATTGATCATTTAGTTAACATGAAGATTAACCACTGGGATAGGTAAGTTCATGAAATCTAATGATTAATATCCAGGAACTGACTGTTCTGCATATAATGCTTTCCCAGATGATTTCTGTAAATTTTATTTCTACCAGAGTTTGCAATAGCATTTGACTGAAGGAAACTGGACAAGTCATCTATACCTCCCTAGCATATTGTCACTTAAAACATGTTTATGAATTCTGTCTTTTTGCCATGACCTCAATCTGTTAATAGATTAATAAAACACATTTATATGTTACATAGTATATGTGGGGGGTAAACACCATCACCATACAATTATCATAATTAAAGTAGATTTCATGCATAGAGATGGTGCTTAGTCATATGCAGTGTTCATGAAGATTAAAATGCGTACATATAACACAAATGAGATTATATCAGTGCTGATAATAGTTTGCATCATGAGAAATAATAACAGTTTACTGTAGTGTCCCTGCCAATGCATAGAATGAGCCCTCAGGTTCTACCATCCACACTTAGGTTTTTTCTTTGTCTCTTTCAGCAATAAGTTCTATTCACATAGCTAAAAGCTAGCTGTAGGCTGTTTGGTCCACTCGGGTTTTGTTGGCTTTTTTGAGAGGGGGTAGCATGGGATGGACAGAAAATACTGTGAGTTTTAATATTGATGGTGTCTTCATTTTGGTCCTGACATCATTTTTTAGTACATCACTTCTACTAAATTGCTAATCCCCCAAAAATCCAAAAATGCTTGTTTCATCTTCAGTGTTATTCGAGAACTTTCAACCAAGGCTCTGCATAACCTTACTCCACGGGCTCCCGAATACATGGCGAATGTGGGTAGGTAACAAATGAGTTCTGCATCATGTGCCATAGGAAGCGCTGAGGCTTATGTAGCAAAATGTATTAAGAAGGTTGAAACATGCAATATGACTTAACAAAAATGAAGATTTCCCCTGCAACTTAGTGCCACTAGCAGTTTTCAGATTTTATGCAACATTTATAAACACTGCCAGATCTTTTTTTATCTGAGGACTGCACTTCAGTTATCCAGCTACACTGGACCCTGCTAGTTCCGAGATGAATAAATGGGTGTAGTTCTGTTGCAGCAGCTCCAACAGCTTGCCCTCAGATTCCTAACTTTTGCTTTGTTGATATGGCTTTGATGTCGTAAAGGGTGGGGGGGATCTGTTTTGTCTTGTCCCGTCTGACATCTCCAGGAGAATTCCTCTTTGACTGTTGTGTGTGTAACCAAATATTTCGTAGCATTAACTCAGGCTCCTTTGCTCAGCCCACTCGAGATTCTGAGGATGTACCAGCTGCTTTTTAATAGGTCTGAAAGGCTGCAGCTGACACCCAGGTGGATCTGTAGTTCCTGATCTTACCAAGGCTCCCTATAGTGGACTGGGAAGGTGGCAGTTTACATGGAAGTAAAATTTCATGGAAGTACAAGCCTCATTTCCCTTAATGCTCAGCCAGCCCAAGGCCTAATAACAAGTATGTGAGGTCATTTACTCCAAACAAGGAGGTAGTTGTGAGTACAAAATTCCTCATGGCTTAGTATGCTTTGTCAGAATTTGCTGTATTTTTGAAACTTGTTTTTTATATAATGGCCAGGATATATTGGCCTGACTTCCCAGAAATGGTTTTCCTGTGTTATTTCTAGGCAGATGTGATTACATTTACAACTCTGATCTATCACTATGCTTTGTTTAAAAAAAATAATAAATTATTTCATCTCTTTCAGTTTTGCCAAGACTTCTGCCTTTATCAGTGGGCACAGATCTGCACACACGCCATGGGGCAATTCTTGCCTGTGCTGAGATCACCCATGCACTGTGTAAACTAGCAGAAGAGAATAATAGGTATAAATGCAAGATTATCTAAGACTATAAATTTTCCTTTCATGTCTGCTGTATTGAAAGCTTCCTGAGTATAATTATGGAAAGCTCCATCTTACTGAACTTCTTTTCCATTGAATTTTTGTTTGTTTTGATCAGTCATGCCAAGCCTTCACCTTTTATTCAGTGATGTTATAAACTGAAGTCTAAATTCATCATCAGGAAAGTGGGATCATTTGCTGCCTTACTTGGAGAGTTCAAAGTTACCATTTAAATATAGATTATCCCTCGTTCCCTGTAAGTATGCTGTCTTCCTAGTGAGGGGACAGACTTGTCATCAGTGTTAGAGAAATACCTCCTCAAGCAGCTTCTTGTGTTGGACTGATTTAATTGTTGCTGCTGAATGTGGTCCAGATATATAGATATATCCATATCCCTCTATCTGTCTATCTATATAAGGGTGTATGTGTGTGTACATACACACATATTACATATAAGTGATGTAGCCAGAATAATTGTCAAAATTATTTGGAGATGTCTTTGCTTTAATGTTGTGATTAAAGAAATGAGTCATTTACCTTTTTTTTTTTTTCTATCACAAGAGCGATATGTGAGAAATTGTTGAAGATCTCTATTGCAAAAACTGGAATTTGGAAGTTAGGATAGCAGAATTATATACAAGCATGATGTAAATTGGGATGAGCAGCTGTTTAAGATTAAAGGCAGTGGAAAATAAGACTCCAGAGTGCAAACTTCACAGAAATACAGTTCTGCAGGAGTCAAAGATATATGTACACTGAAGAAATGTATTTAAAAAAAACAGACTTTCTGGGTTATTTTTGTTCTACAAGTTGGATAATTACTCTCTGATAAACCTTTTTTATTTTACTTCTGAGATATCTTAATGCAAAGATATTATACAAAGATATCTGAACTGGTGACTTTAACAAATTTAATGTTGTTGTTTGTACAAGCTAAATATACTGAGATGAATTCAAATAACAGATATCAAAAGTGTGTGCTGACTTTAATGGCTTAAGTTATTGACAAATAGGAATTGTATTTGCCAGTAGTGTCTGTCAAAAGAATTTGTGTTTTCCCTTTTCAAGTAAGGTTAAAAGTAAGAGAAGATAATGCAGAGCATTTTTAGTAGTAGGAGATACTTGAAATTGCTGGAAAAATCACAGGAGTGTTGGAGTCCAAAATTCAGCTGAGCTGAGAAAAGGTTGTTGGTTTATTAATGATAATAATATTATTAGGAAGTGACACTGATTTTTTTATAGTCCTTTAAGAATGACTTTGCTACGTGATAAGGGAAGAATTTATGTTAGTATGTTTGAACTATTTAGAATTAAATATTGCATATTTCTGTTGAGTGTAATTTGGAAATCAAATCATTGTTTTTGCTTGAAAGTACAATGAAGTCGTGGAAGAAAAATTAATTATAGCATGATTAGGAAAGCAGTCTTAAAAATTTTGTATACCTTTACAGATCTATAACTCATTATTTTGATGAAAAATCATTGGAGGGACTCAAGCAAATCCATCAAGAGGTGTGTAGCAAGAATAAAGGTATCTTTTAACTTGGTATGTTGTATTATTTTTAAACAAAAAACCAATTTAGAATGAAGACAGCTGCTCTCCATCTCCTCTCCTCTTCCCCTTACCAAAAGGAAGCAGTCTCACAAATAGGAATTTGGACACGCACTCCACATAGCTAGATGTCCTTGATCCCACTATAATTTTGTATTTGGTCCCTTTCTGTTCAGCCAGCCTCTTAGCTAAGCCACTTTCTCTGTTGCTGCCAGTTGTACTCCTGAAATACCACATGGGGTTTTGCTTTGGTTTTCTTTCCACTTTGATTTTCTTCCCCCTTTCTGTACACACTCACTGGCCGTGCATAGATAAATGGCTGTTGCCTTAATGTGACTGTGCTCAAGAGAGATCTCCCAGTGAGTCCATTCTGTACTTTCTATTCTTTTTTATTTTTTCAGAATTTCATTGCTAAACCTTTGTATCAATAATTTACCTGTTTATAGACCTTGAAACTCTTACTCCTTATTTCAACTGATGTATTGTCTTTATCTCTACTTATGACAAATGAAGTTTTATCTTGTTCATAGCAAGTTAAAATGCTTCTATGGAGATAATTTTGTCTAACTTTTCCCTTTAATTTTTAAGTCATGCTGTTTTTTTCTTTTGGCTCCTATGTCTTCACCTTATTGAACAGACAGTACTTCACCCAGGTTCCACTTGTTTACTACGGTATCTGGAGTACCTTTAGTCCCATTTCCAATGTGCTAAAGCTGTCAGCTTTACTCATTATGCCTCAAAGTACACACGTACTTGCTTAATGCTGCGCATAGGTGAAAGCTGCTGGTACAGGTTGAAAAAGTATCTTTGTCCTCGTTTAACTTTCTCATGTTGAAATGCCTGAAATCTCGGTCAGCAGTATCTGTACTGTTACAACAACCTTAATCCGTTATGATCACTTTAGAAGGGCCAACTGTGGAAAGCAGATGTGTTTTAGAAAGCCAGACTACCTTCCAGGGTATGTGCAGGAGCAGCTAGGATTTGGAATTAAGACAACCAGTGCTTTATCAACGTGTTAAATTGATTTTGTTCGAATGTAAAATTCAAATAGATCTAAAGAGGGGGGTTTTCTTTAAATATTTTCCCTTTGAATTCTATTTTTGAAATAACCCGAAGTGTTGCATAGCTTCAACTATATAGACATTGCATGTAAGGAGGAAAAATGAAAACACTTGTATCAAACTTGCTCTGCTAATACTAATGTTTGTTGCTTTCTTCTCCCCCAGCTTCGCAGTCGTCAATTGTACAGGTAAGAAAATAGATGCAAAAAAAATTATTATTTCTATTTTGAATTAGAAGTAATGAAAAGAGTAGGATCCTGGGGGTGTTTTGGGTTTTACAAGCTAGTTACACCTACCATAGACTGCCAGTCTCTCACAGTTCATCCGAATGCAGGTGCGTGTGTTCCTTTGGCTTTGTCTGCCTATTACAGAGGCTGATGTTTTATGATGGTTGTGGTCTTTAGAGAGTGCAACTCCCAGGCACGTTAGATTAATGGGAAAGTGGTAAGTACTGGTCTCAATATTGTGATAGAGGCAGGACAGATTGTGAACCAGAATATGCTTGCTAATCCATGGCGGCAGCAGTGTGCAATGGATTTCTTTCCCATTATTCACCTGTACTGTAGTACTTGTATGGTTCAGGTAGGTTTATAGAAATGACCTTTACCTAATAAGTTAATGAGTCCCAAAGGTATTTATTTATTTATTAAAGGAGCTTCTATCTAAATTCCAGAATTACTTTCTTCATCCTGTGGAATGAGTATGCCAGGATTATTACAAAAGGTTCCAGGCACGTTTTCATTCCATGCACCAAAGAAAATGTAAATGAGTTTCACTGCGTTGTTTTTCATTTCCTATTTATTAAAGCTTCCAGGAAATAAGGGCAGTTTGCCTAAGTAACTGTTAAGTACATGTGAACCAAAACTAGTATGTGACTTCAGAGTTTGCTCCTAAATTTAAGGAAATCAAACCACAATTAATGACTTCTATTCCTTAATGATTGTATATGTAAATGAGTTTTTTTCCTGCTTTAACTGACAAATTCTTTGAGCTTTTGGGCAGTTTAGTTCCCTTCTTTGCACACAACATATCTGAAAATGGTAAACTTGATGTAGTTCTTTTTTCTAGATATAATGTAAAAAAAATTATGTAAGTTTTTATGTCCTGAAACTGAAAAAAGTTAAACTTTATTTTGTGAGGGTCGTACATACTGATGTGGAACTTTCCTTCCTCCTCAGTTAGCTTGTACTGGCACACGGGTTTAATGCTGATACTGTACATTAGTGCCTTTGTGGGTGGCTGTCTTGGCTCCCATAAATTCTTTAATGTCAGGGTGGAGCTTGGGTGTAATTTGTTTTTGTCATAATGTGCACTTCTTGCACTTAATGGTATTTATAAGATGCCTACAGAAATGTTTTCATTCTAGATAAGACTTCTCATTCAACTCCAAGCAAAATTGATTCACTGCTGTTTATTCTAATGCTTAGGCTGACACAGAGATGTCTGCTACAGTCCATATTTTACCATATCGGTATGCATAACATTTTACAAGAAGACAAGAAAAATAAACCAGGTTATAAAAACAAACCAGCAATATGAGTATTGCTGGGCAAGCATTTAGTGAAACAAGCCAAACTTGTTTAGTGATGAGTAATTATTGCACATAATATTCCAAAGATTTCCATTTGAGAAATTGCTACCGGGAATTTTCGGTGTAACAACATCTTGTAGGAATGTTGAAAACCTGTGTGTTTTATTTGTGCTTCTAGTTTTTAAACTGCATTCAGAAAAAACATCAGACCACGGGTCTCAACTGTTTATCAACTGTTTTGCTTTCACTTCTGGCAACAAACATAGCTTCCCTTTTGTGGACTGAATGGGTTTTAATGCTTTTATCAAGCTGTTTTCAGATACTGTGTTGGCCTGAGAAAAAGGGAGAGGAAGTAAAGTGTAAAAATGCTCTGATTTAAAAAAAAATCAAATGTAAAGTTGCAAATTATAACGTGTAACCTGGAAAATGGGTTGTGAGATTCTTGATTGTCTAATGCTTAGGATTCCATTGAATCCGTAAGTACCTCAAGTCAAAAAAGATAAGGCCAAAGTGCTCTCACCAAGATCTTCATGTAGCTAATGATCTTACATTGTTTAGCAGCTCTTGCAGTATCTTTGACCTGCTTTTCAGTGGTGGCCATGAATTACCCTTCAGAGAGGATGTGGTTCAAGTTTCGAGTTACCCTGCACAGCCTCTCAAATTTTGAGGATACTTGAAGCAATCAAATTTGTTTGTACTAATTGTAGAAAATCCTGTCCTCTACTGGATTAACATTTTTTAAAAAACACAAGTACCTTTCTGTCTTCCTGTAGAAGTCCTTTTCTGGGTTTACCATAGTATGCTGAAAAAGGAGGATGCAAGTCCAGGCACAACAGTATGTACTTCCTTCCATTAGTCTTGACTCTGACACATTTGAAGCACGAGTTTGTCTTGAGGAGCTGGTTGGTTTAAGCATTTACATGTGCACTTCCAGTGCAGTATTGCACAGTGAGCCTGATTTTCTGTATTAAAAGGGCTCTAGTCGTAGCAAGTCGTATGCAAACCATGCCACTTAGACTGTTTGTCCATAGTGCCTGTTTTGTGCTCTGTGGGTTATGGAGTTAAAAAAATTGAGCTATCTTTTATTTGCTTCAAATGTTACTTTTGTATATAAAAACCTGAGACAAAACCTTGTGGCATCTGTTGCCTTAAACTGTCTTACTTGGGATAGGAGGTCAGTCTGCCAGTTTAAACACAGTGTTAATGGTCAGCCTGATGTAATATTATCATAGAATCATAGAATGGTTTGTGTTGGAAGGGACCTTAAAGCTCATCCAGTTCCAGCCCTCTGCCACAGGCAGCGGGACACCTTCCAGTAGAGCAGGTTGCTCCAAGCCTCTGTGTCCAACCTGGCCTTGAACCAACCTGGCTTCTACTGAACCAGCATGGTTCGAATCTTGTTTTTTGTAGCAGATACATTTCTGTAGTGCATCTGAGCTATTGTACTAGTTCTCAGTGTGAAAAGTCCTCAAGAAGTAAATATTTTTAATAGTCATTCTGTTAAGATTCTTTAAAAGGTCATCATCTGCTACAGGGTTCTTGGCTGAATATTCATCTGAAGAGATGTTTGGAATTTTTTTTACCTCCTTTCTTGTAGCCAGATCTGAGTCTGATAATGTGGGTACTAATATACAGGGTTGGATGTGGAAGTACTGCAGATAGATATACTGGACTTTTATCAGGTGGATGCACTGCACTTCTGTATTTCAGCAGCTGTTCTATTCATTGGGCCCTCAGGGTTCCCATTGAAGGTCTGACAGGATGCCCAGTGTTAGGCAGCAACTTCCACACTGGATGATTCAGGTAGTGCAATGTGCTGCATGCCGAGTTTTGCTCTGATCTCATTCTTGTAACATATGAAGAGACTGGCTGCATGTATTACACGGTCAGCTATGTGAGACAAGCAATTTTAGGGTTTTAGAACAGCAGCCAGTCTAAGTTGGATTGTCATCCTCAGAGCGTCACCTTCCAAAAGCATAGGGTAGCCCGTAGGTGTTGACAGGTGCTAGGCAAAAGAGAAACTCCTCTCATTTCAAAGACCTTTAAGGTAGCAACTAATCTTGATGGTTTCAGGGCAAATGTGTTTCTTGGCAGTCATCTACATAAAAGAGGTTTTTAAGCATATTAACTTAATCAGCAAATAATTCCAGCCCTGCAACAAAGCTCAGCTTAACAATTCTTCCAAGTTTAAATTATTTTTTGCATCCAGTAATATGATGGTTCTAGGAGATTGGGCTGTACTGTGCTTTGAAGAGTTACGAGGCTCAGAGGTATCTCTTTCCTCCCCTGCGTACCTTGTCATAAAGCCATTTCGTACTTCCCAAGCCCGGGATGTGTGTAACCTGGACCTTTTAAGATACCTTGATTCTATTTGAGACAAAGAGTTCTCATGGAAAATAGTAGGTTACGATTCATATGGAGCTGAAAATCCTTATTGAGCAGGTGTTTTTAGGTACTTGGAAATCAAGTACTTGCAATTGAATCTCTTGAACTATTCCAGTAGTTTTAACTCCAGGTTCAGATATTTATAAAATGAATATAGTGGCAGTTTCTGTTACTGTTATTTATAATCCTGAAGATGAATTCTAAGCTTCTCACAAAAGGCAGGTTTTAAATAATCAAAAAACCCAGGATCCACAAAAGTACCTTGAACTTCCAGGTGCACTGGAAACAGCACTGCCATTGGTTCTGATTCAGTCCTACGTAATTAGGTACCAGCATCCTGAGGTCAGTAATCTTAATTCATCAGCTCTACAAGGGATTGTGTATTTTTATTGTATTTTCCACAAATAAATTGTGACTCATCCTAACCTGTTTCTGGGAGAGAAGCATTTCTGTGGAAGTGTACATAGGAAGGAACGCTTAGGAGCTCATGGCACCTGGGCACTGCATCAGTCAAGTTCCAAATTGAATTAATAATTAAACCTTGAAACAGGTACATCTATTAATGTGATGCAACTTGTGGATGTGTCTTTGGAAGAAAAAAGAGAGAATACTGACAGTACAGCAAAATTCAGAATCTCTGAATTAGGTAGATCCGTATCTTTTTAATTTAGTGAAATACTGTAGAGAGAGATAAAGTTAATAGAAAGATGCACATCATGCTTGACAAACTAAGCACTGACTGAGGGAAGATCTAGGATTCTGATAGAATTCTCAGGTCTTGAAACTGAAATACGTATGAGCTGTGGAAAAGGAGAAAATTGTAGATATCCTGATGGCCATACTGTGATGTGTAGGCAAGAAATAACCTGAAAAGTTTTGCAGAGGAGAACACACGGTATCGCAGTGCCTTCAAAGATGGATTTGATTAATTTCTGCGTTACGGGAAATCCTACTGTGCAAGTCACTGTCACCATTCTTCATTCTTGCACAGGGACAACAGTTCTCTGTGAAGCTCTAAACTCTGAAATTAAATTGAGTTGATGTAATGCCAGAGGAAGGGATAGCTGTCAAATTATTAACATAAGAGTAGCTTTAAGTGGCCTGACTTCCTTATTGGCGGTGTGCAGAAGTGGAGAAGAGCAGCCTTTATGACTCAGTTTTTGCTTTGTAGTTTGCACAGAAGTCCATATCTGCATCCTTGCATCAGCAGACTCTGTTGCACACCAAACAAATTTACAAGATCATTATTTTATACTCATTTGCAGTAAGGCAACAGACAAAAGGCAAGGAATGGGTGAGGACAAAATGAAGGAAAAAGAAACGCTGAGGAGGAAGCAGGCCTTGCCACATTGTTCTTCTGTTTTCGCTGCTGTCTCGACTCCTTGCATCACTTCTTTCTTCTCTAATTTAAATTTTTTAGAAGCTGGAGAGCAGACAACATGGCAGGAAGGTGGGGTAGATAATACAAAGACCTTATCAGCATGGTGATGTGGAATCTGTGCTTGCTTCCTATGATGATAAACTGAGCTGTGGATTACTACATTGAGCTTAATACATTGATTGTCAAAAGCAGAAGTTTCCCAATTAAAGGAAGTGCTGATCTATGGCAGATGAGAATATTGTGGAGTTGGCGTCTCTGTATTACCTGTCAAACCAATGCAGATGTTGAGCAGTCAGAAAACCAGTGCATGTTACAGGAGGCACCTTCTTGTAGGGAATGGAAAAACTTGTTTAAAACGTTTAGGCTTTTGAAGCTCATATAAAAGGATAAACTGGAGAACAAAGTTCTAAGGGTTGTTAAGGTTGCTAAGTTTGCCTTCTGAGCATTGCTACTAATTTTATTGTGGGGAGGGAGGAGGAGAGGAGGGAAGAAAAGGTTTAAAAAGAACAACCCCAAACCAAGCAAATAAACAAAAAGTCTTTGTTGTTCCTCCCCCTTGCTGGGAGTTTCTGCCAGAGCTTGGCCATACAAACAGGTGATTAAGGGTTTGGCACACCTCAGGGAGGAAATATTCCAGCAAAAGTGAAGGGAGACAAGAACAAGCAGTTGAGGGAAGAAATATCCAAAGGAAGGGCAGGGGTCAAAGGTTCATAAAATGGAAAAATAAAGCCACACAGGGTGACACTGAGCAGAACGCCCCAAGCAGTGCCCGTGGCACCATGGGGATATCCATGTAACCAGCAGATACTGCTCAGCTCTGGGAGGAAATGTCTCTGCCCAGAGACACGAGAGCCTAAAGAATGGAAACAGGCCCTTCCATTGCCAGGATGCTTCTCTGCCAACTTTTCTGCCTGGTTCAGACTTTCTCCTCCCGGCACTTTCAGCAGCCAGGCTACAGCTCAGGCAGGGTTACCTGGGCTGGTTAAGCCTGAGCTGGAGAGACCATCCTTCTGTAACACTCACTCATTTCAAGAGGGTCTGAAGCATCTTGAGCCATTTGTTTCTCTCTCTTTTCTAATGTCCTGGAAGTTTTTACCCCCTTTTTTTGTGATGCTGAATGCAAAATCACTTGGGAGGGGGCTTCAGCAGGGAAGGAGAGGGTGAGGAGACAAGGGTGAGAAACTTCTTCAGGAAAGTAAACCAGTTACCACTTGTGAAAATGGGAACTGTAAATGAAGTTGCTATTTAATGTTCCAGAGATGCAGATTTTGTTTAAAAATTGCATGTAATTGCTTTTCAGTTGTACAAGTCAGAAACTTGTAGAGGCTATATGACTGAACAGTCCTGTGGCAAGTCCCACAGATTTGGATTGCTTCTGAAGCAACTGAAAAGAAATCAGAATGAACTTAACAGTCTTAATTATTCGCATCAAAATTAGTCTAGGAGCACATGTTTGCAAAACAAAAGTTAAATATTCAGGAAGCTTTTGTATAAATCAGGCTGAAGTCAAGACAGCAGTTGATCTAAAAAGAAGTATTTTAGAGTTGGTCAAATACAAATCTGCAGGTATTCTCTGATCTGCTTTCATACTGAAATGGTTTTGAGGGTTCTTTCCTCACTTGGTAATGCACTCAGGTTGGATGTGGTAGGTTATTCTCTGATGGCTCTTTCTGCTTTGCAGGGGTTTAGGTGGTGAACTGATGAGACCAGCTGGTAAGTATCACACTGGAGTGTGAAAGCAGAGAATGTGCAGTCATGAATTCTTCTGTTTTCTTTTTTCCAGTTGGTTTTGCATATGTTGTGTTAAAGGCATAAATCAAGTAGGCATGGTAATGAAAACAATACAAAGTTTGGAGGCCAGTCAGAAGACAGGCACACAAGAACCTTGGTTGCCAGCTTGCTTGTGAATAACCGAGAGTTGGAGATAGTTCTTGGGTTTATGTCACACATCCTCTCCTTCCGTTGTTGCATACAGTGAACTTACTTCCTCTATTGATTTACTCAGATTCTGCTCCAGAAAAGATACAGTCTGTCCATTAAGACAGATGCCATCATGTAACTAGTGATTTTATCATCATGAAAGACCATATAAAGATGGTCATGGTCATAAAGACCATGGTCATAAAGACCATATAAAACCAGCTTACGGAAAGGGTGGTATCACAGAAAAATATGATAGGTTGTTCACGTGGATTTGAAGATTGTTATATAGAGAAGCTCTGTAAAAAGGGAAGGATCAGCATTGCAGGAAAAACTATCCATCCAGGTAGCCTGGGTGGATAAAGAAATGATGCCAACTTGAGTTTCCTGCTCATGGGTTGCATGAAAGAAGTGCCATGTAGCAGAGTCTGGCTTTGAAGGTGTGAAGCCATCCAAACATAGCGGGTAAAGGAGTTTTAGTACCAAGGTCAGATAGAAGGGGTGACAGGGGGAGAAGGATTTCTGCAGTCTTTGAATGAGTTTGCAGTCTTGTGACACAATAATGCAGGCTGAAGGGATAGGTAGATTTGGTAATATCTTTTAGCTTTTAAGCAGCTGAATATTTCATGGTTTTGGAAAAGTACAAATGACAGTATTTTGGCATGATACTGCTGTGTAGGAGGAATAAGAGAAGAATTGAAAATGCTCCACAAATTGCCTGCATGTCTAATGAAGATGATGGTCTCAACCACAATAGAGCATAAAGAAGCATAGAGAACTAAGGAGGAGCCCTAAGAGACTTGAGTTTAGTCACTGTGCTTAACCTTGTCTGTGAATAAATATGAGAACAAAGAAGCTGACATACAATCTTGAATGGAGTTTGAGCCCAGGGAGCCTGATAGTGTGATATTACCATAGTGAGGACTGAATTCAAGAGTAGATTTGGAGCCCAAGTTAGTTGATTATAAATGAGGAAGACGATGAACTGTGTATAGAGCCCAAAGGAAGATTCAAAGATTAAGCTGTGGGAGGAGCGGAAAACAAAAAGGTGGTGTTATGTGGTAGCTTGTTCTGTCCTTTCCCTCCTCTCTACCAACCCTCCACCAACTCTAAAGCAGTCGGATAGGGAATATGAATATATAGGGATCTGTTGTGTTTGAACCAGTCATCAGGAGGTGAAAGATACTGTGTTCATGCAAGCGTTGAGCTTTTATTTGAGCAGTGCAATCAATCTATGTATAGTAAAAGTTTGCTATTTCTACTGTGTTAATCTCTATTCCAAAAACCAGCCTTGAAACAGTAAAAAAACCCCCTATTCTTCAGGTGGTTTTGTAAGCTTAGAACTCATTTAAGTTTATAGATTAAAAATTATAAGGACTTAATTATGAAAAACATTTTCTCGTATTCAGAGCATCATAGGAAATAAAGCTGCACCCGGTTTTATAGCTCCTAGCTCTGTGCAGTGAACAGATGCCACTCCATGTAGGTCCAAAAAAATGCTAATAAGAAGCAGGAAAACCTTCTATCTATATTTGAATGGTTTTTAATAGCTGTAGTATTATCCTTTTCCAAGCTGGTATACTATTGATGATACTACAGAGCCATTTACAGACTGGTATAGAAACAGAAAGATGGCTCATATGTATGTACATGTGCACCTTAAATGGCAGAGCAGGGGGAAACATAGCACCAAGCAACGTATTTGCATGAATGATGGAACTCACTCGTGTCAGAGAACAGTTACTGCAGAGTAGCTTTTTTTTTTTCCTTTTTGTATGCAAGAACCACAAGTGTTATTTCCTTTCAGTTCCTAATTTCAAATCTTTTGGATTTCTGTTAATTTTCTTCCATTTCAAATTAATGCTGGTATAACTTGTTGTCATATCTTCAAAATTGCTGCAATTTCTTATTTGTTTGTATTTATCCAGTTATCAAATTTATGGTTGGTTGTTTTTACAGTCTGCACTTTAATTGAAAAGTTGTCACTATCAAAAATGCCATTTAGAGGAGATCCAGTAATAGGTATGTTATATTTTAAATAACCCTCCACTATCTTTGCAGTTATTCATTAAGCTGAAGTATTAACGAATTATTATTTCAAGGAAGCAGAATTAGTGAGGTTGGGTGGCCTAACAAATAAAAAAGATACACGAATACTGCAGCAGATGGGGATGTCATTTGAAGATTTGTTTTGTAGCTGTTTACTCATACAGGATTTTTTTTCCTGTCAAGTTTTCAGTATCCCCAGACACAGTGTTTGCACTGTGTCTGTTGTAAACCGAACCAGAATAGTTATATTAATTGAGAATCACAGCCTTGTTCATTTTGGAACCCGAAGGAAATATGTCAGTGTGTGTAATTGCTGGTCTTTGTGAAAAAATAAATCAGAATGTTGAAGTGAATGAAGTATGAAGAATTAATACCATTTATGTTCCTTACTATCTCAGCTGGCTGGCAGTGGTTGATAAATGACAGTCTGAGAAGTCTCACTCTTGCTTCAAGCACTGCACGACAGCATATAAAGGTACAGTAGTTTATCCTTCTTCATGTGGTCACATGAAATACGGAATTGGACATTTTTTTTGCTTTCTGTTGGTGGTTTGTTTTCCGTGGAATCTAATTGGTTCTTGAATGTTTGGTTTTTAGATTGGTAAGAAGGGTTATTTAAAAAAAAAAAAAATACATTGAATTCCTCAAAATTCAAATGGACTTTTTTGGTTAGTACTTGGAACAGCTATCACGAAAGTTGTTTCTGTAGGTACATTGGACTAAGTAATTGACAGATGTTGCAGTGACAGTGGGCAGCAGCAATGTGCTTGACTTCTCCATTAAACTCTGTTGCAAATCCTTTTGCTGTGCTCTTGAGCTACTCTAATTCTGAATATTAAATCTATTAATGGATATGTTTCATGCTATTTTATGTACCTGATCTTAACCCCTCCAGTTATTCATCTTAATTTTCCCCAGTAATACCATGACAGTTTGATCTTGCAGTCTTAAAGGCTCTAGTAAATTATAAAGACAATTTTTGTCTTCCCTGTTACAGCCATCACGGAGAAATTTGAATATAACATATTGTGTTCATTTTCTTAGGTTTTAAAAACAAGATAAAAAGCCATTGCAAATATCTGGTAGCTCATCTTTTAAAGTCTTCCGTGGAAGACAGAGTAGACTAGAATGTATCCAAATCACTGAAGAAAATTAAAAGATGACATTTGAATTCCTGGAATATTCTTTTGGTGTTAGGGATATATTCAAAGAGCTTGTATGTCTCATAAGTGGACCGTCTAAACCAAGCTTAGAGGAATTAATTATACACTTTAGAGAACTGTTTGGTTAACATTAATTAATGTTGAGCAGTGTTTACTAAATATAAATCCTCACTTGATTTCTGTATATACTTTAGAAAGAGATAGTTTTAAGGACAGTCTTTGAGACATTGAAAAGTAATCTTTTTTTCTGACATACAGGATACTCTTCCAATGTGACTTCTTGCATTGAAGGTGAAAACCATTCTTTTTAGGAAGTGAAGGCTATGAGCAACCTGGTCCAGTGGAAGGTGTCCCTGCTCATTGCACGGGGTTTGAAACTAGATAACATTTAAAGGTCCCTTCCAAAACAAATCATTTTGTGATTCTATGTTCTGTAGGACTTAGATAATTCTGTATATTTTGCTACTATAATGCCTCTGGTAGTTAGAATATTATTTCGATGAATCCTGGTTTTATTTTTCATGTCCTTGGTTTTGCACAGAGAACAAATCTGAGGTGTCTTCAAAGGTAGAATGAATAAGCTGTACACGATTCCTGTGCTCTTGTACCTGGAGAACAGGAGTATTAATAAGTATTGTTGTTACTAATGTGGAGTGAACAGTGCATAGCTTTTATATGCTCTCAAATTTATTATAATTTTGGTCAGCATTGTATTATTAGCGGAAAAGTATAATTCAACCATAAATTTTATGAGAAAACTTGTTACATGCTTTTTGAAATAGCAGCTGTACTGGTTTTGTGTTCTGAATCATGACCGAAACCACTCTAAAGATTAGATGTTCAGGCATAATACACAACCTATGATCCTTTTCTAAACCAATTAAGATTGACACACAAGGATTGTGATACTGGATATTTTGGGGGGTTTATTTATAACCTTCAGTCCATGATCTTTTTCCCCTTTGTTTCCTTGCTGTAGCTCTGGGAAAATATGGTTTGTTTCTTGTAATCTGGAATCAAAATATTGACGATGAAATAGTGACATCTGTGTTTTGAAATATTGTGACATCCTGTAGGTCTTTGAACTGAAGAGAAAATACATACTTCACTATTAATTTCTTAAATATTGATTTAGCTTACTGGTAGTTTTGAAGGAGTAAGAGTAAAATCTGGTTTTTTGTTTTTCTTGCATAGGTTTCCTGTTCAACTGTTCTTAAACCAGTATTGGGAAGAAATAAAAAGACAGTAAATGTCAGTAGCTGAAGGGAAGGACTTTTTAAAAAATCCACTCTTTTTCCTTAACCCTTTAATTCTGAGCACAGTTACAATGAAGTATAAACTTAGTAAATATATTAAGTTCACAGTTTTGCCTTTGTTACAGGAGTCTGCTGTCTCTGCACTGGCTGCGCTGTGTAATGAATATTACATCAATGAAAAGGGAGAAGCTGATCCAGCTCTACAGGGTAATGACTCATGTTTACAGTAGAGGTGGAAAATACTGGGCTGGACCTAACTTGCACTTTGGAAGTACTGGGTAGAATGGGGAGGAGCATCACTAATTTTAAAGGACCTTAAAATGCTTCAGGAAAGAATGATAAAACCAACTGAAATACAGGCAAAATTTTTTATCAGACTTTCTGAAATGATGTAGAGACTAGAATTGTGGGTTAGGAATTTTTTCTGTGCTAAAAGATCTCTAGTCAGCTCTGTCTTGATTATGCTTTTATTTGGCCTTGTGCTGCTCTGAAGCCTCTTCCACACATCATAATAAAAAAGGTGTCGTTACACATGCAGACTTTACAAGAGAAAAAATAATTTAATATTTTCATCTCTATGCCAGTAAAAACTATGTATTTCATGCCATTAAATTGTGTATGTTGTGGGACTGAAATCCACTATTAAACATCTTCCCCATAATGTCTGATGTGAGCATGTATGTGTGTAAGCTACAGTGCAGAAGACATTCAATGACAATGCAGGTGTGTTAGGTAAGAAAGCAGGTCTAAACATGATTAAGGGGATTAGTAAAACAAGCTTTTGGTAAAATTTAACCAGTTTCACTATCACTTGACAGATTAAAATGAAAACACAAATCAAAGATATGTCAGTGATTCAGCATTCTGAATCTGTCCCTATAAGACTGCTGTTTTACTGAATCACTTTTTACCTCCATTTGTTTTCACTTTCTCTTTGTTTTTTTTTTTTCTGTCTTAGTGTGTTCTGGTTTTGTTTTGATGACTGTCTCTTTTAATATTCTTTCAGGATGGGTTCTATTGAATTAATATTGTAGACGCTTCATAGGCCATGTTTTATGAAGCTCAAAACTCTTAGAAGAATATTAACATTTGCATTACCCTCGCTAGCGTAATTACGAAGTAGTTATAAGTAAAGAGCTGTTCATGTGCTAGTTGTCATGTCTTAATTTTATGTCATTTGGCTAAAATGTCCATCTTAAATTTACATCAGTCAAAGGGAAGACTGTCATAGTCTCATTGTCTAAGATCATCTTGCTGTCTAAGCAAGCGTTGCATCTTCCTATGGCCTCAAGACTCTACCTTATGCTCCAGTGGTTAGGAAAGCTTTAAATAATACATGTGCTCATATGAAGGTATTGCTAACCTCTGGACAGGGAACTAGTTTCCTGATGTGAGGAACTAGTTGAGGCCTGCCTACTGCATAGGGATTTAAAAAAGAAGAAAAAAAAATCAGTCATGAGTTATGATTAATGTGTAGTTTCTTACGGTAACTCTCTTTCTCCAGCAAATATTGCTCAATCATTTAAATCTTAGATGACAGTAAGCAATGGCACTATTAAATAGTTGTTCTGGGATCTGTGATTCTTTTTCCTTGAGGATTAAAAAGTACATATTCAGTGAAGAGGTGAATCATAGAATCAGACTGGTTTGGGTTGGCAGGGGCTTTAAGCTCATCCAGTTCCAACCCCTGCCACAGGCAGGGACACCTTCCACTAGAGCAGGTTGCTCCAAGCCCCGGTGTCCAACCTGGCCTTGAACACTGCCAGGGATGGGGCAGCCACAGCTTCTCTGGCCACCCTGTGCCAGCACCTCAGCACCCTCACAGGGAAGAGCTTCTTCCTCTTTTCTCATCTAAATCTCCCCTCTGGCAGGTTAAAGCCATTCTCCTTTTTCTGGAGTACCTTATTTTTCTTTGCATTTTACAGAAGAATTTAATATATTAGCTAAAAAAGCTGGTAAAGGAAGTATTGTCTGTTAAATCAGTGATAAAGACTGCAATAGAAAGACATACATAGATTCCTGACCTTTTTATTTTTCATTCATCCTCATTTTCTTTGTATCACTTCATTGCTGAGCCTCCTTTTTCCATGTGCAGTTCAGTTTACTCTTGTGCCTTTTGTTTGCTACCTCTTGTAGAGGCCATTGTCCTTGTTTTGCCCGTTTTGTCACGTAGTGATGCGCATCATTCAGGGCGCAGCATCCCTACTTCAAAGTGGTCCCTTCGTTTTGAGCTTTCTTTGCAAAAAGCACAACTTGATTTTTGTCTCTCTATAATGTGATATGAAATTATCTCATTGGTTAGGTATGATCTCTGTGTGTGTTTAAACCCCCAGTCCAATAGGACTTTTCTGGGGGAATACTCTCAAATAACTGACCATCACAAATGCGAAGACATCTCTTTCGTAACGTAGAATACCTGTCTAATCATAGAAAGTTATGACCTGTAAATATCAAAGAACTTGTCCCCCTGTGTTTGCATAGAAATTTGTGCTTCTACTTTGGATTTATAAAAAAATATAACTGTCTTTTTTTTGCTCTTGAATGACTTGGATTAGTCCATCTAAACATCTGACTTTGTATTTAGAAAATAAGAATTTGGTCATGTAACAGTGAGCATCTTAAAATTTTTATCTTGTTTCTGTAGGGAATTAAAGGTATTCTGTATTTTACCTGGATGAATTATGAAATCTTCTAGATGCTCTGTTTGGGGGATCTTCTGTTTTATTTTGTTAGCCAAATGTAAGAATAATGATGTGATAATTGCTTTTCACTCTGCAATTGTATTTTTTCTAGATGAGCTGGTGACAAAGTATGTTTCAGAACTACAAAACACAGAGGAAATGGTTCGTTGTGGCTTTTCACGAGCTCTTGGGGCTCTTCCAAGATTTCTACTAAAGGGCAGGCTCCAACAGGTGAGAAAACATGATCATTGTAATGACAAGAGAGGGCATAGGACATTTTGAATGAAACCTATGATGGTAATCAAAATAATAATAATCATAATTAAAGGTCTTTCTGAAAGAAGTTTGGATTCTAATGTACAGTACCTCCAGAAAATCATCATGGGTTTACCTTGTTATAGATTCTGATAATTAAAGTTTAGTCCTGTGTTAGTAGTGTTAATGGAAATTTAAACACAATACTTAAATTTTAACATCATAAATAATGCACTGGATTTAAACATCTTTTTTTTTTTTTTAATATATATATTTTTTTCAGGTTTTGGAAGGTTTGAAACAAGTTACCTTAATTTCCCCTGGAAATGTGAGCTTTGCAGAAGCCAGAAGAGATGCCCTCATAGCAATTGCAGAGTATGTTTATTACCTTGAGTTTTTTCGTCTCATTCTTTCTCTAGACATTTTCTCTTGTTCATTGTGGTTTCTGTTGTGGGTCTTTAGCATGATTCTTGAGATCAGCTACACTATGACGTACAGGGTCGTGTGTATCTCCATTATTGAGTACATCTTTGATTTAGAGGATGATCACGCATCTGAGGATGGAGCACAGTTCTGATGGTGATGTGAGGTTTTTTACTGACTGAACTGATGAGCTAGAGTGTATTTTGAAGTTCATCTTTCTTATGGGCTGTAATTTAGTGAACTGTAGTGAGGAGGAAGAATATGTTTTTTCTACTTTCCTAATAATGTGAAGAAGTTAGTTAATATCAAATTCAGTGAAGATTGCATTAGTCCTTTGCTCTTCTTGCTTACTTCATTTTAAGGAATGTTCAGAAACTCACAGGTGCTTTAAGCATGTTCCTTTTTTAGTATTATAGAGTATTATATATATCTGCTTTATCTGTTGAGTTTTTAGCCTTTGCAGTGTTCCTTTAAACCCAAACACTGATCTGAAATAAATCCTCAGGTCAAATATGACACCATAGGCTCAAAAGTATTCTTCATACTATTTGTAGCAGATGTTACAGGTGGTTAGAATACTGTATGTCCAGGGAATTTTATTAAGCAACAGAACAAAGCTATGATCTTAATGCTTCTCCTTGCTAGGGTTGTGGTTTCTCCCCCTTATTTTCTCTTCTTATAGGGTTTGCCAGACAGCAGGTGTAAAGGGAGAAGGATCACAGGAAGAATATGTCTGCAAAGATAACGTTGCTCAGATTTATGCTACGCTACTTAATGCTGTGACTGACTACACCACAGACAGCCGAGGAGATGTTGGAGGATGGTAAGATGCCTTACAAACTAAGACTTAATCATAGCTGTCATGTTTGCTGTTTAATTAAAAACTGATGTCTTTTCAAAACGTGTCAGAGAGAGATAGCTCCAAGCTTTCGGAGATTTAAGTAGAGGTAGAAATACACAGGGGCAAGAGAAGTAGGAAGTGAAAGGGCATGCTGACAAAGAATTTGTCCCTTGCCTGGAAGATGGAGACTATTGTGTTTTAAACTGAAGTCCAGCCTTGTTCTGGATTTGTGGATGACATTATTTTCTCTTAGTGAATATCAGGAATGTATTTGGTTGTAAAAAGTAGAGATTTTAAACTTCTGTTTCGTTGAAGTAGCACATTCACTCGTACTTTTAACTCTCCTATTGTACGTTCGTGTTGTGGGGATTCTTTGCCAGGAGAGGGAGCAGTTGCATAACGTGTTAGTGACTAGTGACCAGCTGAGATGGATAAAAACTTTATGTATTGTGCTGTGGCATTACTGACTCTTTTGTAAGTTTTGGGCTTCAGTTATTTCAGCTATGAGAATGCAGTAATTAAATCGTAAGTCTGTTGGAATGTAACTACTACTGTGAAACCTATAGAATAGGTATAAGATTAAGTCTGTAGCAGTCATATTTTTGTGACATCCTTCAGTCTTCATAGTTCTCTTAATATATAAAGAATATTCAATATATGTATAGAATTCGTCTGACTTCTGTATTCCTTCAGTAACAGTGATCTGAAAAGGCAATTTCTAAATTGATGAACTAAAGCACAGTGAAGGCTTTTGTTGTTCTTTGGGTTTGTGTTTAATTTCTGAAGAAGCTGTAATTGGGGATGTTCCTCTTTCCTTTAGGGTACTTCACTGCAATATTTACAAATGTGTTGGAAAATGACACAGGACAAATGCTCCAGCCTACTTTTATCAGCCTGACTTGTGTCTGTATTTCTTTTGATTTGTATAATGATACCCAGCCTCTCAGCCTTTAGTACTGGCTGTTAAAATTGTCACAGGACAGGAAAATAGCAGCAGAGGATAACAAATCAGAGAAAAGTAGGTGTGTGTCGCATCTCAGAAGAGGAAAAAAGGCTACAAACGAGTAAGGATGAAGAGCAGATCATCAGAGGTTGCACAAGGGAAGAAGGAGCGTGGCTTTCCCTCTCATCCTTATTTAGCCGTGCAAGAAGTGAGAGGGAGGTAAATGGGTCTCACTTGGAGAATGTAGTAACACAAGGGAGAGACAGATGTAGCTGAAGGAAAATGTAAAAGCAACCAAATAGGGTGGGGACTCAGAGAAATGGAGGAGATACTAAGCTTTTTGCTTTCAAAAGGAGGCGAGATACTGAGGTAGATAAGAACCTGACTAAGTATAATTAGGTATTCAAGTTAACTTATTAGGTATTCAAGTTAACTTCCACATCTGACAGCTCTCATTTAGACTCCCCCCTACCTATTGTTTATCCTTCTGTCTATGTCTTAATTTAAAAACAAAACAAAACTCTACAAAGTGGAAATTTTCAAAGAAATCCTAGGGAAATTAAATTCCCAACACCCATTAAAATTCAAATGTGCTTTGAGCAGCAGATTCTTTTTAAGCTTCTTTGGCAATGCCAGCCAAAATCCAGTCAAGACACACGTAAATTAAAGGGGGAAGGGAAATCCTTTCTCATAGCAAACTGCAGGCTGCTAAATACTTTTGTGGCCTCTCAAATATGTTTTCTCATTCTATTTGTTCTAATCCATTGACTAAGATGGAAAGATACGAGGAGAATTGCCATTTCTCTGGAGAGACCTTGTCTTTGGTGTGTAATTTTTGTCTGTCTTCAATGGAATCGTGGGAAAGTTTAACCAACTTTACTTTCCATATGCAAACTTTACACTGTTTGCTGGGACATGTCCGATCTGTCTACAGGTGTTAGACATGCATATCTAATAGTCAGATACTGTATGAAAAACTAGGAAAACATACTTTGATGAAAGATTGCCAAACTTCTATTAAGCTACTTAGGAAAAACTGATGTAATTTACCTTTTTTACCATTATAACAACTGTCCCACCCAGTTTCAGATTGCATAGACAACTGTTTACAGCTTGCTTTGGAAATTAGGATTATTTCTTTTCACAGCAGCCAGCTGTACCTTTTCTGATATTTCATTTTTTTCTTTTTAATTATTACTGAGAAAAGTTGACATTACCATGAGTGACTGATGTGATAAATGTGTTGGTCCTGGTCTTCTGCAGGATGGTGTAACCACTTGAGTATCTGACATAGTATTGCCCACGTCTTGAGAAAGAAACTACTTTTAACAACTCATGTGTTGCTATGGCATGTGGCTTAAAACAAGCATATTGATATATATTTTTGAAATTACAGTCTGATTTTTATATTGATATCATATTTAGACATTTTGAAGGCAGAAAATCTTAAACATATAGATAATATGCACTTCAAGCACAACTTAGTGTTACTTTAGCTAATCTTTTTCATAAAACTAATTATTATTTAGCATAGATATTGAAGCCATTCTGAGTCACAGTGTTTTTATGTTGGAAATATTAAGCTTGAAAATTTACAAGAATATGGCAGTTCTAATAGTGCTTAAATCTCTTAATGACAAAATACTGCTTGGCCTTTTTAGAAGATGATATGAAGGAGACAGAGCACTTAGGTTTAAATACATCTACCTGCACACTAAATATTACTCATAATTGTCAGTTCTGACCATCTTAAAGAATCAACTTGATGACATCTGACTGGAATAAAAACTCAGATAGTGAGGCAAGGGGCTTGCCTGGATGCTTGGATGATTGTTGTACCCTCAGTGCAATGTGGACTTCACAGGCTTGGGGGTACAGCTGTACACACTCCTCTTCCTCCCCAACATACGATAGCTGCTCTCAGAGGTCAACACTTTAGTTATTTTGAATTTTTGCCAGTGTTGAACTTAAATGCTGATGTATTTCTTTAAATAAATACTGATATAACTGCTCTAACATACCTCTCTTTCAACAGGGTGCGTGAAGCTGCCATGAGAAGTTTGATGGAAGTGACGCTTCTGCTGGTTCAGAACGAAGCAGAGTTAATTGATGGCAACATGTATGTGACTTGTACTGGTTTTGTGTCTTAGCTTATAATTACATTCCAGTCCACACAGGAAAACCTTGCTTATATGCTGTATTCTTAGGTGGTGAGGCACTGGCACAGGGTGCCCAGAGAAGCTGTGGCTGGCCCACTCCTGGCAG